GTGGACTCTATGCAAATTCTTCCAGCACCCTTAATTTAACTGATCTGGAGGTCACATTTTATTGAGCCAGTACAGGCTAATATTGAATACTAGTGGACTCTATGCAGCTCTCCCAGCACCCCTAAATTTACTGATCTGGAGGTCACATTTTATTGAGCCAGTACAGGCTAATATTAAATACTAGTGGACTCTATGCAGCTCTTCCAGCACCCCTAATTTTACTGATCTGGAGGTCACATTTTATTGAGCCAGTACAGGCTAATATTAAATACTAGTGGACTTTATGCAGCTCTTCCAGCACCCTTAATTTTACTGATCTGGAGGTCACATTTTATTGAGCCAGTACAGGCTAATATTAAATACTAGTGGACTCTATGCAGCTCTTCCAAATAAATAATATCTCTGATATTTGGATACGAAACATGTATCAAGTCTGGCCCGGCGCGCGCTACTTCGTAGCTCGTGCCATTTCAAGAAGAAAGCAGCGCGCGTTACTTCGACGAAATTTAGACGAGTAACATCCGTTAATTACTGGGCGGCGCTTTACTGGGCGGTGTTCAGCCTGTTGTAGGTTTACAACCTACCAAGATGCGCGCCGAGTAATTGGAACAAATAATAAATATTATACGATTACGAGTATCACCCGTTAATCAGCCTGTCATTCCACCTAATCTCTATAATTTTATGTTTATGAAGATTATAGCCCGGGGTTCCCAGGTACACAGGTAACCGAATATTCGATCAATTTCTAAATTTATCACTATCAGAGTTTGAATTACAATATTGTCAAATTGTTATTATTCTAGAGGGTAAAAAAGAAAGTTTTGATTACGTAATCAACGACCGAAACATCTTGAACACACTGGCCGGCTAGAAGTCCTGACCTTACAGTTACACCGTGTGACTTCTTCCTTGTTCCTGTGGGGGTGGGTGAAGGACCAGCTCTAGCTCTATAAGAGACATCCTATTGCAGACATCACGCAGCTAAAGCACCACCTGATCGACATCATCCATAATTGATAATATGGACCCAGCGTTTGCTAATGCTATGTAGTTGTACGCTAGTCGGAGTGTAAACAGTAAAGAAGCGGTGTCGCAAAGTGATTGCAGCTGGGGGATGACAATTTGAACATCTTAATTGAAATTATTGAATTGTTTTTGTTTGAGAATTTTGATTAGTTGATTTCATTAATCCTAAAACTTGGTGTTTTCCTGTCTAGCAAAGTCATTATCGGTATCCAATCAATCATGATCAGGTCGTCATCTCCTCAGTATGTTTGGTAAAGCCTAATGAACCTCATTAAACTGATTGAGTGACGAGATCACTGACTGAGTGCTCGGATCACGTATCCGATGGATTTTGAAATGGTCATAACTCAACCACATTTTGAACAGTGAACTTGAAACTTTGGGAAAGATTTAAAATTATCAAGCCAAATGTGTGAAAAAAATGTCGAGTTCTTAGCTTAAAGCGTTCTCATTTTATGAAGACAATAGTAAAAAAGGGAGTGTCACGCCACGAAATACGTTGTATCACGCGGTGACCCCCACTGCCGCTTCACTATAGTTAGCGTCTTCGACGCTACAGGGGGAGCCGCGCACTTCGTGCGCGGCGGGTCATACAACGTATGACAAGAAATACGTGAGTTATTAAATTTAAAAGGTTGCGTGTGGGTAGTCAATTTTGGGCCACCCTGTAGTATACCAGGCCATGTATACTATGTAATACTTGAATCGACGTATTTTTGAACGCGACCAGCGACGCTGATTCCGAATCATCCCTTATAGTTATGACGTAAAGTTAAAATGCTCCACTGGCGAAAAACTGTCTCGATCACGTGATATGACCATTTAAGGAAGTTGGTCTAATTTCTCGCAATATTGTAAGGGTTATAGTATAGCATATGCTTCAGTTTAAGTTAGGGATTGGGTTAGGTTTCGAATAGTCCTTCAATTCAAGCCACCTAGAGAACGTGTTCAAAAAGTCACGTGACAGTTGAGTATATATTGATTAATCATCATGATCCTTACCAACTCGGCCTCTGGCTGGGTAATAGTAATATCCAATTTAGTATGCGATAATACTAATAGTTCAGTGTAATAATTTAGTTTTACATGAATTAGAAATCCAAGTCAGTGAGTCTATATCTCGTTCAGATCGATCAAATTGTTTCTGAAGATCTGCCGACGAGGTATGAACTATGAGGTACGTCATACAATTACATTTGAGGTACGTTGTGACACGTGTTCCATTGAAACATGCCAGCCTTCACTTAACAAAATTTTAATTTTAAGTGTTCTTGTGACGGTCTTCCTACGTCAAGACTCTTCCAACGTCAAGCCCAAGGACCTAAACTGCTTTGAGATAATTTGATACTTATGAATGATGAAACGGAGAACTGCCATTGTTACGCAACACATTAATAACTTTCCCTCTTACGATTTTCACAAGTAAACAATCCATCAATTTACGCATTGCAAGATCTTTCATTCAAGTTAAAGCCAGATTTTACATGGTGATTACGATGGAAGGAGTCGAACAGGGGTGAAAATAATTTGTATCGCCAATAACATCATTACTATTAGTATTAAGCTAATGGAAGCCACTCCTCAGAAATTGACAGACAAAGGTGACCTAAGTGGGCCTTTATAAAGCGAGTTGTCAGAGGGCTTTTTCATCATTTTTGGTTTTGAAGTTGCACAGCTAGAAGACTTGTTATTCAGTTTGTGAAGAAGTATGGTATTTCTCATTGTAGTGCTCGCACTAAATGCACTTTTCCTTGCCAACAGTAGCAGAGCATTTGAGGAGCTGAACCCATACCCTCAAGAAGATGCTGAAGGACTTGGTGGTAATCAGATCAAAGAATTTAAAAAGGCCAAAAAATGTGTAAAGAACTGCATGGCAGCGGCAGAATGTGAGACCAAAGATTGTAAGAAACAGTGCATAACGGAATGCTATCCAGGAGATCTAGATACGGAGACTATCGAAGAATTTAAAAAGGACAAAGAATGCACGAAGAACTGCATGGCAGCGGCAGAATGTGAGACCAAAGAGTGTAAGAAACAGTGCATGGCTGAATGCTGGTCAGGAAAAGATCTAGATAAGGAACCTATCGAAGAATTTAAAAAGGACAAAGAATGCATGAAGAACTGCATGGCAGCGGCAGAATGTGAGAACAACGAGTGTAAGAAACAGTGCATGGCTGAATGCTGGCCAGGAAAAGATCTAGATAAGGAAACCTTTGGAGAATTTAAAAAGGACAAAGAATGCACGAAGAACTGCATGGCAGCGGCAGAATGTGACACCCATGTGTGTAAGAAACAGTGCTTGGCTGAATGCTGGCCAGGAAAAGATCTAGATAAGGAATCTAAAAGAAAGGAGGCCCACAGCCGCAACAAAGAGCATGATAAAAGCATGAGAGGTGGCAAAAAGGAGAAAAAAGGTGGCAAACCATACCAAGCTCAAGATAGAGAAATGAGGGGTGACAAAAAGCACGGTCCAGTCAAAAAGGGCCGAAAAGAACACAGGAAAGATTAGAAGAGGCCCGATGAGGATATGAATGATTCTCACGAATTATGTTCTTGATATTTTAAATTCTAATTATGCAAATATACAAATTGTTTTACTTCAATTGTACTTGTAAATTGTGAATAAATTCAAATTGATGTGAACCGGGTTGTAAATTTCTAAACGGTGTTAAATTTAAAATACAAAAATCAATCGTGAACCTAAAAAATAGTATCAGACACGTTGTCACACTACAGCAACGCCATCGCAACTGATCATCCTCAAGGAAGTGCCACCGGGAACAGACTAACCATACTGTAATTCAATTACAGTGAGAACACGTGAAGAACCACTTGACAGAAGTAATTTCCCGGAGCAGGATCTTGTCAGAGCTATATTTCACAGTGGTTTATAGGACTATATCCTGGCAGATATATAGGTTTACTAAACATTTGCAACGGCCTCTGTAGTCTGTACCACCTATACCATTGTTATGTTACCACCTTCAGCTCTCATGGCCTTTAAAACTATTCAAAGTGAAATGTGTTAAATTGATAGCCACTTTGCTTGTTTCTAGTTTTAGTATTTCTACACCCAACAACTGCATGAACTTACATTATAATGGCTCTCATTTCTGAATCTACTTCAACAGTAGGAATTTTAGTAAGGTCAGAGTTGGGGCCTTAACAAGAATGTAAGTCCACATTGTTGCATATGGCGAAACTGAATATTCCCCACATACGTTGAGTAACACATATATTCTGTCGTATTGGTCTGAGGAGTTAAACATCAGCTGGAGGGTGTTAAACATCAGCGCTCGATCCGATGCATGGATCTGCGGTATAAATCGAGAAGCGTAGTGTGAGAGGATGCTGGGGTGCACTTTTGAGCTGTAGCTGCATGTGTAACCGCAGAAATACCACACAGACTTTCAAAATCACACCCTATTGCAAAATAACCGTGGGCATCGTGTAGCTTGTTGAGTCACATGGTCGATCCTGTGTACTATTTTAGAGTCTTACAGCGCGCACGTACAACTAATACGCGCAGTAGTGGAATTCGGGACTTCTAGAAGCCATAACTGATAAGACAATAGTATCACAGGTATCCCAACCAATTGGACATTCAGGTTCACAGAACATGTATTCTTAGAACCTAGACACTCAATCTTGATAAGAGGTCATAACTGTTACAAGATGCGACCACTCAAGTTAATGTGATAATTTCAGGATGCATAGATTCTTTGCTTTCTTGATTCGAGAACATAGCGCTTTACATGATGCTATGTAATCCGCGCGTTCCTGCAAGTTGGTACGACATTGTCTCCTTGACGTAACGGATTACGTCAAACTTTCGACATAAGTGCCCATACCCCGCCTTCTCGAGCAAAGAAATACCTTTAAAGGTATTAACATTTAGGGCGTGGAAAGCCTTTGTTCATGTAACATTTACCTCGTCATTTCAAAGTGAATTCGTAAATTAATACGAGAAATTTTGAACAAACGGTAAGCGTTGCGTTTATTATTTACAACAAGATTAAAAACCTAAATAGGTCAATACATACGAACACAAAATATGGGGAAAGAGTGAGGGGGAATGCGCCTCAAAATAAGATTTTGTGCGGCAACTAAAACACTGAAAAACTGACCTTGCAAATTAAATATTCTGACCTATTAAAGCACTGTGTTTAAACCCGATATTAACTTAAAGAGGATCGCTCATGCACTGCTCCTTCATCAACATTAAAGGAAGTTCGTTGGTTATAAGGCCTGTACACATAATATGATTTGGGTCACTTGTCGGTGTTCAACAAATGTACGGTGAGTTGAAGATCACATGAAGATCTTACCAACCCGATATCAGGACAGGACTATAAAGGAGCACATGCCTGACAAATCAAGAACAGGATTATATGAGGGTACAGGCCTTATTCCAGTGCCTTTACAGGCACACGCACTCGTTATAACATTATAAATTAACGCAAATTTCGGTTGACACATCAACCCCTGAAACGTCACACAAGTCCTCTGTGAAATAATGACGTCACAATGTCAGGCTGACGTCACACAATGGTACACTACGTGGAAGGTGCTGCTGCTGGAGGTGGGGCGGCGGCTTCAGCCGGTTCTGGCGACATGACGAGTGTTTCTAGATCGTCCGCAGCTTCTCCAGCTGTCGTCTTCTTTCCCGCACGTATGACCGCGCGGTAACAGTTGTGCGCTTGCAGCTGCTTGATCAGAATACGGACCTGTTCCGGGATTATAGAGTCAACATAAAGTCAAAATAAAGTCAACTATAAAGTCAACACAAAGTCAACATAAAGTCAACATAAAGTCAACATAAAGTCAACATAAAGTCAACATAAAGTCAACATAAAGTCAACATAAAGTCAACATAAAGTCAACAGAAAGTCAACATAAAGTCAACATAAAGTCAACATAAAGTCAACATAAAGTCAACATAAAGAGTCTGAGAATTAATAATGGTTTAACAATAACGGTGACATTCATAAATATTGAACTGGAATCCGAACAGACTATTTTAAAACATATCCTTGTGTTTAAAAGTTAAGCGTACCTTGTGTTTGGATTCCACTGTGTTCCTCTTAGCCAGAAGTGCTTGATAATGCTCAGTCGGAACACAGACTACTCCCTCGTAACGGTCAGGTGCTACCTGAAAATATCAGGGTTATAATCGCTGTGTCCGTCTTTAGGGTACGTGCAGGTGCACAAAACGTGCAGAATATGTGTCGGTACGTGAATTTGGGTGGTGATGGGGAACGGAGAGAACTTTATTTGAAGGTTAAATCTCTCCTCTAGTTCCACAACTGGAACCGGCAACTTCATCAATATTTTAAGTGTTTAATGTCGATTGACGTCATCTGCAAACGTCACAAACTAAACGGTAAAAATACAATTTCATAATTGTAACTGCATCTATGAGGAGTGAGCTATTTTTATCAACCACTGATCAACACAACTACACAACTATCTCTGTAGGTGTTAATGTTTTAATAAAACTCTTATTTTCAGCCCACAGTGAACCACAACGTTACAGTGTCACACACCGTGTCACACACCGTGTCACACACCGTGTCACACACAGTGTCACACGATGAACCAGTGTCACAGTGTCACACAGTGTCGCACAGTGAACCACAGCGTAACGTTCACATACACATTATGCAGTGTGTGTACCATCGTGCACGTTATTAAAGTCAACATTTCTACATCAAGTAGTAAAATCAAGATTTGTCGCACTAAGTAAAGTTCAGTCAGTCAATGCATGGCAAGAGCTGGTGAGGTTGGCGAACATTGAGAAATGTTTGCCAACATAACACGCCACAATATGTGCTACATTGCTATTGTTCTGGTCTTGTGAGTGGAGTTTTCAAGTGTGGAGTTTTCAAGGAAATTAGAGCCATGTTCGAACAATACCCAGCAGAGTAGAGGCTCTACTGAACACGTGACTCACATGGTGTGAGTATAATGAGTAAAACTACAAACTGTAACACTGACATTTACCAGAATTCATTACAACAGTACGTGTTCCACAGACTAATATGTAGTTAATTCGCTCCAGCCTTCCTCATATATGGTAGCAATGAATTAAAGATTGATGTGGTAAATTGGACATGTCACATGTGTCACACACAGTGTCACACTGTAAATTGGACATGTGTCATTGTTTTGCAGCACGTGGCAAAGAATTAACGCAATGGCAGTTAGTTTAGAATTAAGATATTGAATAGAGAATTACTACAGTAGTACTAGAGTATCATTATATCATTGCATCAATTCTAACTTGTAAGCAACAAAGATATGCAACATAAATATCACTTGGCCCTTGAAGGCAAGTTCTCAAATTTTGTGACCAGCAACGATCCAAATGCCGACCTTCAAAATCTTATGTCTCATATTCGTGATGCTGCCAATGTTTCCATCGGCCCAAAACCTAAAGCTCGCTTGAAACATCACAGCAGTGATGACACTCTCAAAGAGCTTGTTGAAAAGCGTCACGATCTCCGACAGCTATTTAACAATAATCAATCTCTTGATCGAACTACATTGAGGTCATCCATCAACCACCTCACTAATAGTATCCAGAAAAGATTAGTTGAAGTGAGGTCTGCTCAAGCTAATCAGACCTATAGTGATATTACTAACACAAACGATTCAAGGAAAATGTTTGAAGCAGTAAGACATCTTCAGAAAAGTAAACCACCTAATAACTCGATTGGTGTTCATGATGAAAATGGCTGTTTGATTGCATCTGACGACATGAAAGCTTCTGTTGTTAGCTCGACTATCTCGAAAAACAGCTGACTCGCAATGAGCAACCTCTCGAGCCTTTTGAGGGACTACCACGTGCTCTCAATGTCCCTTTTACTGGAGTTGAAATAAATGCAGCCACCTCTAGCTTGAAAAATGGGAGGGCAAATGGTCCCGATGGAATACCCAACGAGCTAATTAAGTACTCTAATAGTACAGTCCATGAACATTATGCTGGAATCATCAACAGTTGTTTCGAGACACATACTTTCCCCATTTCCATTGGAGAGGCTACTATAACACCCTTACAGAAGCCAAAAAAAGCTATTGGTCCTCTGAAGAATTTACGTCCACTCACCTTGTCCAATGCAGCCAGAAAAATTCTGTCTATGGCTACTCTTAAAAGGATAGGAGAAAAAGTGAACGCCTTCACTGGTCCATGGCAGTGCGCATATAAACGCGCTCGTTCTTGTGCTGATATTGTTTGGTGTCAGCGAGTTCTACTGTCAGTTGTCCAAAGAAAGAAATGGGAGTATCATCGCATGGGCATTGATATGTCTAGTGCATTTGACACGATCAAACGCACTACGATTCTTGAACTCCTGAAACTGTGTGGCTGTACTGAGGATGAGCTGAGGATTGTCCGGTTGTTGTTGTCCAACACAAAGCTACGGGTGAAGGTAAATGGAGTTCTTTCAGCCGAGTTTTTAAGTCTCCTTGGAGCTTTCCAAGGTGACTGTCTATCCGGCTGTCTGTTCACCCTTGTCTTGGCTGGTGCTTTGAATGAACTTAGATGGACTATAACAATCAGTTTAGATAGGCCGATCCCCCCGATTACTATTGCTGGCCTTCCACTTGACACTGAATATGCTGATGATGTTGACTTCAATGATGAAGAGGAAGACAACTTGAGAGCTATTTTGCCCCAGGCAACAGCTATACTCGAGAAATGGAACCTCTTTGTCAATGAAGACAAAACGGACTTCACTCATGTTTATTTAGCTAGTACGGGTGAAGTCGACAGTGATGGAAAATTAGTGTCGGGGAATGAAGCATGGAGGAAAAGTATCACTCTAGGGTCCGTCTTGTGTAGCAAAGCTGATATTCAGCGTCGCATAAACCTGGGATATGCTGCCTTTAACAATTACAAGAAGGCCTGGAGTGATAAACTGCCCCTAAACAAACGTCTAATACTAATGCTTTAGTCGTATCGGTTCTTATGTACAACTCATCCTGTTGGGCCGTCCCCAAAATATTCCTTGAAAAACTAGATGTTTTTCACCGCAGACATCTTCGCACTATTTCGAATATAAAGTACCCAGGAGTCATCTCCAACAAAAACTTGTATAAACGCTGCAATGCTGAACCATTGTCAGAAAAAGTGGCCCGTAGTCGGTGGAGAATGTTAGGACATGTTTTGCGGGGTCCTATTGACGGACCAGCGTTTTCTTCCCTCATTTTTGCCATCAATACACTGGACTTACCAGGGAGAAGAGGAAGACCCCAAAGCAATCTATTCTCGCTGATTGTGCATGATTTATGTAAAAGAAATCTTTATTTAAATAATATCTTTGACCTGCATTATCTCCGTAATTTGAGTTATGACAAGAGATATTGGCGGAAATTGCAATGAAGTTTTTAATTTTTAGTTTTTGTTTTAGGGAAAGATTAGACTTGGGCGTTGTTTTTTAAACTATCCCTTGTTTAGAACTTTGATTTAATAAAAAAAAATCAATTCTAACTCAATCTGTATGTAATATGTATCCCGTATCTATTATGTAATCGTTTCTTTGTTCGTCATTCCTTCACTCCTAATACTATTTAAAACGACTGTATACAACATTGTTCCATATTTCATGAGGTTTTCAAGATTTTGGCCAAAGTTCAACTTTACAGTCAACGTGAAGGATATGTAGCATGCTACACCTTACTTTGGCCTGCTGCCAAGAATATGAATATCAACTTCTAGAATACCCCAAAAACGGCCGATGATGCAATAATGTTAATTCCTGTAACTGCGGTCACTTAAATCGACACTCATTGTGCCAACACGACTAGGTAGTATACCTCACTTTCAATCTCCTAGCACACTAAAAGACTAAACTGTCTTAAACAGTGGTCTCTAGTAACAGTAGTCTCTAGTGGTCAGTAGTGGTCAGTAGGTGGCTACATTAGAGTGTGTAGTGGGACACACACTAATGTTATATCATTCATCAGATCAGCTGGACAGTGGACACCTAAGTTGCATAACAATCACACATCACGCATCACACATCACGTATAGATCCGGAACTTTAGAGCTACTAGCTTACAGTTGTTTGTTGTGTGGCGAATCGTGCAAGTGTGTAAGAGTGTGCGAGTGAGTGTGTGTGAAATAGCTCACAATCTTCACATTTCACATTTGTGTTACTAATGAATAATGACCTATAAAGTTCAAAGAAAGCACATTAGCAGGCAGGTCAGGAAGGTGTGGGTGAGCTGCGGCAACGTGCACATGTTGCAATATAAAGTGCTCCGTAACGTGCTGTTCATAACATTATTACACATACAGGCCGAAACTTAAAATAGAACTGATACACAGTTTATATGTACTGTATCACCACGTTAATTTAAGTGTCATATTTCTATATTATATTCTAGAAGCTGGTGAAGTGGCAACACGAGTACGTCAGAGAGTGGAGGGAGGCTTGGTCGAATGTAAGGTGCGGTTAAATGCGGTTTTTCTACCCAGTTCACATGCGGCAAAACGGCTGAACGGCTGAAGTCAGGTTGAACGGATAACATAACAATCATGCTAAATATGGTGAAAACTGAATATTTACAGTGACTCCAAATTTATCTTTGATTTTCTATCCAGATCCCAACGAAGCTTTCACGTTTACACAATTTAACAAGTAGTAAAAACATTGTAATTACAGTGCACACTAAGTGGCAGTAAGGACTAAGGAATGTTCACGTGCTCACATTACAATCAAGGACTTGTCTTTATTAGCTCTCTCTCCACACTAATTAGAGTAGGAACAAACCAATCTTGGCTCGACGCCAAATCTACAACCAATTCTTTCCGGGTTCCCCACAATATCCTAATAATAGAAGTCAGCACTCAGAAGATTGTGTACTCAGAAGATTGTGTACTCAGAAGATTGTGTACTCAGAAGATTGTGTACTCAGAAGATTGTGTACTCAGAAGATTGTGTACTCAGAAGATTGTGTACTCAGAAGATTGTGTACTCAGAAGATTGTGTACTCAGAAGATTGTGTACTATACTCAATAACCAATAGTCTATCTGGGGACTTCCTCTACACTACCACAGTACACTAAAAGGCAAATATGTACAGATAGTAGCCCCACATACCTGTACTCTAACACTAATGATACCATCCCAGTTCACAGAATGTGTACAAGAATCATTTACACACATACAGATCACTTTGTGGGAGAGATGCAGGACAATTATGCCTCTTTGAGAGTTACCAGAGCTGCAACTTTTAAGTGTACCATTCTACTGGAGTGTGTACCAGTGTGTACCAGTTTACTGGTGTGTGTACCAGTGTGTACCAGTTTACTGGTGTGTGTACCAGTGTGTACCAGTTTACTGGTATGTGTACCAGTGTGTACCAGTTTACTGGTGTGTGTAACAGTGTGTACCAGTTTACTGGTATGTGTACTGGTGTGTGTACCAGTTTACTGATGTGTGTACCAGCGTGTACCAGTTTACTGGTGTGTGTAACAGAGTGTACCAGTTTACTGGTGTGTGTAACAGAGTGTACCAGTTTACTGGTGTGTACCAGTGTGTACCAGTTTACTGGTGTGTGTAACATGAACAGAGTGTACCAGTTTACTGGTGTGTCTACCAGTGTGTACCAGTTTACTGGTCCGTTGGCCCATCCTTCCCACAAATGGTGGAGTCACAATGGAGTCACAATGGAGTCACAATGGACTCACAGTGTAGTCTCAGTGGAGTCTCAGTGGAGTCACGGTGACATCTTCACAGTTACTTGATGGTATTACTTGATTTTTATTAAAAATCACTCTAATAATAATACAGGAGCCGTTGAGGTACTTTCATTAAGTTATGTATTTAAAACATCCACATGTAAATTTTAACTATCGGAAACCACCACCCTGCAGTCAAGAGTTTTGTAATATAGTTGTAAGTATTCAGACAAATCTAACAGTCGTGATTTCTTAGAAACAGGGGGTATGTAACCATTCTATTTTTAGATACAAGTTAATATGATATTTAAAATGAAGTAAATGACGGCCCAACGGCTCTTCAATGTTGCAATAGCCATCAACTGGTCTGAATGATGCACTATCTATATTAATAATCTCAAGATGTGTGTTCGTTCGTTCGTTCATTCGCGTGTAATTTCCGAATGGTTCAATCAAGAAAACAGTAAGAGATATGGGACTTGTTTTTTCAGTGCCGAAAAAACTCTAACGAAGCCAAATGAATGAGGTTTTTCAAATAGGTCGGTGGTAAGTGGTTTAATTTATCATTTTGTGACCCAAATGTGCTACTAAAGTGTCTCACGTTCTTTCCCTCTCTCCCACTCTCGCTCTCTTTCCCCCGTACTCCAATAGATTTACTATATAATTAGGTAGTTTGGCAGTAGACCTCAAGATTGCCTATCAAGTATATTACTATAAGATACGTGAGGGGCACTCAGAATTAAATTGCGGTGTGTTTGGACAGAGCGAGTTCATACTTTCGCGCCGTTCTAACTACGAAAATGTAATGCGTGTTTTCAAATATAATAATATAATAGGCGGGTTTATACTTTTGCATTTCAACTGCGATAGTGAAGTCGTAGGCACAGGTTACACTAGCACGAGTTACACTAGTATACTATGTAATTTTATAAATTATATTACTATATAGCCTGCTATATTTACTACTAAATAGTAAATATATTACTATACTATGTATTTACTAGCGTAATATTAAAATGAAAAAACGTAAAGTTATTACAGTAAGTATTACACTTACAAGTAAGTATTACACTTACACCCCCGTCAAGAGAGGTACACTAAATGTTAATATAATTATCAGTAAGATTTATTGAGGGTAACAGCACACACTCTAGTTGATATTATAAATCATACAAATTATCACATTAAGGAACGGGGCGATTGGGCGCCACTTAATGAGTCGTATTTTAAATCTTATAACATTCTATATAATAATATAGATTAATCGAGATAATATTATACCGGTTTAAACCGGTTCAGATAGGGAGCCTGATTCATTAAATGGTTAACTTGCGTGTTACGTTTCAGTTTACACGAGAAAGTTTTTGTATGCAATTTTATGAGATCATTTCAATTAATGCAGTCTCAGAGAACGTAGGTCTAATATTAGATTTGTCTTGTAAGATATAAAAGCTAATGACACTTTCAAAAGATAAGATAATAGTTAGAGATTGTCACAGGGGAGCCGGTTATGTCATTGTAAAATAAATATCGGAGAACACGGTATCATTGTTTAAAGCAATGAAAAATTCAGCCATTTATTACATCATGCAATATAAGGGGGACGTTATATTGACAAAATTCAATATAACGTTCCCTTTGTCAGGTATTCAAAGAATCTTGTCAATATTAACTCGCTTCTTTTAACCGCATCAAAAAAAGTTCATTAACAACCGAAGTTATAATAATTGGTTATAGTAATTTGGCGAGATGGACCGCAGATAACACATGTCTAATTCTATTTCTAGCGAAGCATCACGTTAACTGGTATATACAGATGTATCTATAGACATATTATGTACACATTATGATACATACTTACATATTTTATCTGAAGAAACGAGTGTACTTATAACACTGTTACAGCACGCATGTCCATAAAATACTGTTCTAATATTGCATGCTAAAAATGTACTGTACATTAATTTAGCTGTATGTACGCGACAATTAAATTTTTAATGTTTCTCGGTACTACCCGGAACATGGCTTGTATAACAAGAAGAATGTACTACCTGCAAAGGCAATACAACAACTATTCTCCAAATAGGACAGCAGTGAGTGTAACAGTGCGAGGTTTGGTATGTTGCACAGTTATTTAACGTTGAAAGGTCGCAGGTCATACCTCAAAGTCAATATGTAAAGTGTAACTTGTTACACGACGCAACACATTTAACTCTTTTTCGTTACACTAGATTAAATTAACTGTATTGCATAGACAATAGACATGATTTTATTATCTAATTGAAAATGTTACCAAGAATTACATGCTACATATTTAAATAGAATTACATAAATTAATAAAAATGAAAAACTGGTAGTGGTAGTGGTACCTCTCTAGAATCTAAAATTAGAATTAAAATCAGCTCCTTTATTAAGAAGATTACAACACAACTCCCATGAACTACAAGTTAAATATTGCACGTCATGATGGTAATGGTCATCAAGTGATGGTTTCCATTTTATATCGTCGTATTTTCTCAATCCACTACCACTACCAGGACCACTATTTACAGGCTATAAGGCACAAAGTTTGACAGATGGCAGGGCTGGTGAGCTGCACGTGTTTAGTGCGTTATTTAGTGCGTTATTTACTGTGTCGTAACATGATACGTGTACTAAACTTAATTACTAAATTACTACGTTGTGTTTTAGACATTATCCGGCGTTTCTCTGTGGGTATCATATCTATTTGCTATTCAGAGTAAATAATATGTTGGTGTAAAGAATTCAATTTTATGTAGATTTTATGTAAATTTTATGCAGATTCGATGTAGATTCGATGTAGAGTGACCACTGACCAAGTAAACAATTAGACTTAAAACCAGACACATTTACGACGTTTTATTAACATCAGTTTCAACATTCACAATTCACATTTCCATGTTTAAGCAGTAAAGAAACCATTACACTAACTGTGCACGGCGAAGGAGCTGGTTTTAATACCACAAATCTAGAGCAGCTAGTACTGGGAAATTGAAGTGCTTCCTCCACGAGAACCAGTACAAGTTAGTGGAGGAGGGCTCGGGTCATGGGTCTAACTCTAATGATATTGAGTGTACATAAAACGGATATTGGATACGGTGTTATGAGCGGCGATATGTGTGATCATGTGTGATCATGTGATATGTGTGATCATGTGTTGGGGACACACTTTATCTCCACAGGTCCTGAGTCTTTCATTGTTATTCTGAATAATAACCTACGTACAAAGATAGTCTAGCTACATAACACAACTAATACAACGTAATATTTGTGTGCTGACTAAATATAAATGTGATATATTAATTATAGGACGTATTGATAATGTTATGCGATGTGTTCTATCATATTATGCAGTCATACATTCTATATTATATATTATCTTACATTCTACAGTCTACACAATATGAAGCAGCGTGAGTCAGACGTGATCTAACTTGATGACCAATGTAATATTTCTCACTTCTGCCTTTGTAATAACACACTGTAATAACACACTGTAGATTTACTGTAATTACACTCTGACAATGACAGTGAAGATAATATCACCACTACATGACACTTTTCTAGAACATTCTAGAAGACTAGATAGTATGTGATAATAATATGACCTGTGTTGTGACCCTGGCTGACTAGCAGCTATATGTGTGCAGCGTGTACACCCTGTGTAGCAGCGTGTAATAGTAGCGTGCTCTCAGCAGAGAAATGAGCTATTACAGTATTAGGAAATAATGTTAATGTTACACACACACACAGCGAGTGAGACATGGTCACAGAGAGCTGTGTTGTAGTGACATGACGGGTAAGTTAAACGTGACATAAAACGTGGCATTGTGAGGTAAGCCCTACAAAACTGAGGACTGTGCTATCTGTTATTTCTTTGAAGTAGGTCTTTCACATGTGATAGACTTACTTCCGTAGTGCCTTTAGGTTTGGTAACATGACGTGCTGAGTGTGCTCCATGGGAACAAATGTGGATATGATTAATATCCATATTATGTGGGAGTAAGATATGACCAAATAAGGTGTGACGGGTTATGAGACCAAATAAGGTAACGTGTGACAGGTAACATGACCAAATAAGGTATTTTAGTTACCTTGATGACGTGCTTCCCCTCTGTGATGTTGTCACTGCTGGTGATTGGTTCCTCTTTCCACATCATCTCTACTTCCTTGCTGGCTTCCTCTGCCTTCTCACCTGAACGTTAAACATATAGTGATACTTGACAATCAGAGCACAAACAAACGTACAAACAAACGTACAAAAATAAAAAACACACAGAAAACAGACACACAGAAATATGGTCTGAATGAATACACATTCGTGCACACTTCACAAAGACTAAAGACTCCCATGAACAATGAACAACAATAAGCTAAAACACAGGAACACGTTTCATACACACTCACTAGTCACTAGTCACTAGTCACTAGTCACTAGTCAGTAGTCACTAGTCACTAGTCACTACCTACTAACTACCGACACTAATCCTGATGCAGTTAACACACATACACACACAGATCGTTGGTGTACATTGCATTGTGTGTAAAGGTTAAGAGTTAATACTTAATGAGCCCTCTCACCAGAATCTAACATGAAACAAAGATAAGGCCCAGTATTTCGTGAGATCAATTTACAAATTAACCATGTGCACAGACTAAGGGGGTACAGTGGACCCTGTTTAGACTGTACTACACTACCAGGAAACAGTGGGAGAGAGAAGGGTCCATAATATTGTTGCGGGCTGGTAGAAATTAATTAAAATGTAGCGTGTGAACACTGAACGGTGTATGAACATGGTAGGAACAAGTGTATGAGCAAATCATCACCAATGTATACAGACAAATCATTAACAAATCATCATTAAAACTACGAGGCCAGTAGGAAACATCTTGAACAAATCACAAACTCAAGTGTCCAATGCAAGTGAAGATATATAAAGTGTTTGATAAACTTACCAATGATGATGATGAGATAGCCTCCATCCTTAGAGTTAGTGGTCAGGGACACTCCGTACTTCTTCTCAAACTCGGACCTGTTCATCATGAACTTTCCAAGGTACACGTGTGGCATGAGCAGGGTTACTGCTCCTTCGGGCACCTGAGAGGACGGGTTTTAAGAGGGTATCATGATGAGGAAATCCAACCTTGGACCCAGAGCCGAAACGTCTAGATACTGTAGACAATAAAATGGCGTGGAAAGACGTCAACGACCAAAAGACATCCAGACAATTATAAACCTCACAAACAAACAAACAAACAAACAAACAAACAAACAAACAAACAAACAAACAAACAAACAAACAAACAAACAAACAAACAAACAAACAAACAAACAAACAAACAAACAAACAAACAAACAAACAAACAAACAAACAAACAAACAAACAAACAAACAAACAAACAAACAAACAAACAAACAAACAAACAAACAAACAAACAAACAAACAAACAAACAAACAGCAACTTACATGAACCTCGATAACAGAGTCCTCACTTTCCTGCCTGATGGGTACAGGGTGACTGTTATGTGGGTGTCTGTTGACCGTCTTGTAGTCGTGACTATACTCCGTACTGAACTCGTCCTTATACTGAAACATTGCCGAATTAGGAGGTGCCACATGTCCAAATATGGTTATAACTCTACATCCAGAAAGGCGGCTGACCGGCAGATAATCTGTGAGGAAATTTGGTGCCAAATTTAGGGGATACGAAAATTTTTAGGGGAGAAAATTGGACTGTGAGGAAATTTAAAACTTCCTGGTGTGGACTGTGGGGTTATAACTTGACATTTGATGTGAAACCTCGCTAAATTATTTAAGGTAGTAACAGATATCTATAATAGGGTAATGTCGCACGCCATCTTAAATCCGGCAAAGTCACACGTAGATGTAGAAATTAAACACTCGACGTGTCCAGTGAGGGCGACTGTGTGCTTTACACAGAGGTCTCCTGATAAGGGTCAAAACTTTAAAATATGATGGATTAAAACTTCCCCAGAAGGGCATTATCTCAACAGTGGTTGGTGTGAAGGAAGTTTTTAATTACACAGCTCATTATAATGCGACGTGTCTAATGTCTTTAGAGCTAGCGGGGCTTTCTAAAACCGTGACTTCAGATGGTGACCTAGCTGAGGTGGTAGAATTTGAAGTCACGATATTTAAAAATGAAAATTTGTTCAAGGCAAATTGACCAGCTTGTCACAAACTACTCCCACTTTTTAAATTTGGTGGAAGTAATTTCGAGCTAAGTCATTCATCCGGTAACGCCTTGCTTACGTCAGACAAATTGACGACTTGGCACTTTGAGATCGAGCCTGGGATTTACATCTCCAATATTTGATAGCAACAACACACTATCAATCCCTGCTTTGTATAACTTAAACTTAGCGGTATTTGGTACGCCAAATAAGGTTTAAATGACGAGGGATCTGAGAGTGATGGATAACTGACACGCTCGATCATCACTACAATATATAACCCTGTAAACTCATTACACCACGTGACTTACCACACAGTACTAAGATATATCTAGGAGAGTTTTAAACAGTAGAGTTAATCATGCACATCTGCTACCGACCTATACCGACCTATAGTCTACTGTACTCTACAATAACTAGCAGATTGTGGTAATGATTATCAATACATCAACCCGGGTAGTATCTGCACAGATACCCCACCAGGGGCCGGCTCTAAGTTGTAGGAACTGTGTGGTATAGAGACTGTAGTATATCTCTCTCACTCGCTCTGAGCAGGTGTAGCTCCTTATATGGTATGATTGGGTAGCGAGATAAGCAGGCCTTTTCAATGGCTGAGCTGCCTGGCTGATTGAGTAACATTAAAACATGGGCGGGGCTGCAGGCTAGCCAGTATCATGATATATGTAAGAATGTATCAGACGGGGCCGGGGGGGCCGGGGGGCCGGGGGGCCGGGGGGCCGGGGGGCCGGGGGGGGGCGGGGGGGGGGGCCGGGGGGCCGGGGGGGGGCCGGGGGGGGCAGGGGGCCAGGGGGGGCCAGGGGGGTTGCAATGGCTATCAGACATACGCCATATATAATTATGTAGTTAGATACATTTTTAGTAACACCAACCCTTAAATCAATTCAGTTTATTTTTTGGGAAAGTAATTTTTTCGTCTTTTGGGCTGGTAGTTTGTTAATAGAACAATTATTTTAATTTTAAAAATCATTTTAATAAAACAATTATTTTGATAACACAATTATTTTAATAAAACAATTATGAATTAGTTAACTTACATGAGTAGGTTCTGAGGGCTGATTGTTGTTGTAACGGTTGTTGTAAGTGTTGTTCTGTTGAGCAGGGACCGGGTTAAACTCAGTAGCATACGGGTTCAGATTCATCATGCCTTCTTGATTCTGAAAAAACACATACAGGTTATTTTTAGTAACAAGTATCAGCTTGAACAGTCATTCGGCGGTATTCTAGAACGACAATGAACAATAAGAGCGTCTTTAAGATGAGGTCATCTAGATGAGATGTAATGTTATCTGGACTAGATTGGTGATCTTAGAATAGAGATTTTCAACACAGTTCTGATGATCGTATGCTTTGACAGAGAAAATATTCTACCAATGTTATAAAGATTTTACTGGAAGTTTAATATAACACTCATTCGTTGATTGCGGGAAATGTTGATTCTTGACTAAGAGTGTTCTACCTTTCTTTGAAAGAACATGGCGCTATTTTCCGATATGTGAGTGTGGAATGTGGATTCTTTGGAAAGTTACATCGGAGTGTTAAGTCTCCAAACATCTTACATTCTTACACCCTTCAACATCTTACACACCTTCAACATATAACATATTACAGCGTCTCTACATATTTCAACGTTTCTGCGACGTTAATCAGATCTACAGATAAAAAACGTGTACAAATTATGGAATCATGTTATTTATTGAGTTGATTAAGTATGGAAATTGAGTTATGATCTTTTCGGAGAGAAGGTAAGATTAAGGAGGTAATTTATCAAAAATAATGGACAAAGACCTTCCGACCATACCTCTGAAAACAATTGTCTTTTTACTCAGCTCCAATCATCGGCTCTTAAAATGAAAACAATTGACCCTAACCCTCATGAAAATAGCGTTAAGACTTAATATAGTTAGCCAAGTAACTGTGACTCTAAGACCTAAGTATAGAATTTGCACCAATTATTTATAAAACGTTTACAGAGTTACAGTGTACTAAAGTTAACACAGCACTGACAAGGTACCCCGAAAGTGATCATCACCCCCACACATAGCAACCCCCCACTCATAGTAACCCCCCACACATAGCAACCCCCCACTCATAGTAACCCCCCACTCATAGCAACCCCCACACTCTCTCCGGGAAAGCGTGACAAATGAGCACAACACTTACTTACAGGTGAGCATCATGGGAGATTACATATAATATACTGGTGTTAATTTAACGAGAGAAAACTAATATGACGGGTTGAAGTCACGGCTAGAAATGCAGTATGTACGTGTTACTAACGGCAGGGAGGCGTGGTATTTGTGTAAAATGTAGTGACCACTAAGTAGCTGAATATTCAGTAACTTACCCTATAGTACTAGTAAGATGTGATGTTGTAAATAGTTTTACTATCTGACTACTACTACTACATGTTGTACTGTTTTATATGTAACTAGACGTGTGTGTGTGATACTGTGAGATGTAGATCTGTTCTAGACAAATGACAATTTGTATACAGTGAGCTTATCGCATGCTGTTCGAAACTGGCGAATTGCCAAAAAATATCAATGCTCTTCTAACAAATTTCGGAAGCAAGAAATCACGCTGCCCACATCACGGACAGCTATTTAAATTAACCAATTAAACTAATTAAACAATTACATTTACTAATTAAATGAATGTGATAATTACCTGTAATACCTGATATTGATTGGAGTACTGCTGCTGGGCTGCGTTTTGGTAGTTGTTGGGCATGTATTGTCCGTTATTCATAGACCTGAAACAGTTCATGAAATACTCCCCAGACAAACATATGGTGGAAGTGGGGAGGCGATGCACATTTGTTTGAAACAGAGGTCAGCGAGGTTAAAGAAGTAAGTACTAAGTGATAAATCATTGTCTTGCAAGGTGGTAGGTGTTCTTTAATGTAAAACAAATGTGTTTCGCCTCCGCATTTTTAGTATGTTATTTCTTGAGTCAAGAGCTGTGGGAACCATTTAACAGTCAAACAGATAAAACAATATAGGTTTGTTCTAATTCATTATAAGATTTTAAATTTGGGTTACAATTAAACAGTTTACAACATTCAGACAAATCAATCAGTGAAACACAAACAAGTTTGATTAAATAATATTTTATTAATAAAAAATGTATTGGGAAGAATTGTTATATCGATTGGTTTACATCCTGATAATGATAAGTTAAATCTGAAATAGCATTTATTAGAGTTTCAATACGCAATAATTTCAAATCTAACAGCAGCAGTATGTGGAATGTAGATGTCAAGATAAAAGGTCGATAAATTTCCGGTCATGTTCCCCATATTGAATAAATAAATAGAAGCAGCGCAGCAAAATGAACATAGAACAGGTTGGACCAGAAAAAGTTACATGTCAAACGGTGTCTTTGTGAAAAGGGTCTTCAACAGATAAACCAGGAGGTTATGTTCCAAACTGTATTAATTCTGGGCCACTCTATGTGTGTAAAATAGCCCGCTGTGGTATCCTCCTATACATCCAGCCGATACAACCACGATATATCAACCACTATAATATAATATAAGCAGTGCAATAATATACAGCAATAATATAACTTTGTAACAGGAAGTCAGCGAAATTACTACATCGAGTACTCGTAATAATAATGACGCAGCGTGCATTTAATATAGTGTGTGTAGTGTGTAATGTACACTGAACAGCATATATCATGTAGTGTACAGTGTGTATTGTACAGTTAACAGTGCAGTATAATGTACAATGTACTTTATTAATATGAAATTAAATGTTTGCAAGTTGCACATAATAATATATTATGTTTAAAGCTCCTTTAGAAGCTCCTTTAGAATGGTTATGCTGTGTGTAGCGCTAATTATGCGTGTAAATAACGCAAACAATAACAGCAAATTAGAGGTTGTTATATTGTCTACATTGTAGCTAAGCATTAACATTTGATTAAGCAAATATACTAAACTAACACAAGAGTCCGAACTTTGTGATGTTATTTATAACAATGTAATATGATCAAATATATACAAAAGAATCGTACTACTCCGATAATAACCATCTGCAGACCAGATAACTGGTTCCAAAACTTGATCAGCTTCTTGAATCTGTTGCTTCTTCTTTTAAATTCCTCTTTTAAACTCCTCGTAGAACAATTTTAAACAAATGATATATCAAGTGGACGACTCATCCACCGCAGCTACATAACATACAGCGACACAGATGCCATAAACACATCTAAATGGTCCGTTTAGATAAGTCCAATCCATTTCTCTAAGTCCAGACTTCTCCCAATTTTTCTGTAACAATGATTACTATGACTTGAATCGTGACCGCGAATAAGAGAAAATGTCAGGATATGAGAAGAAAGTTATCTTGAAAGTCTTTTGAAGAGCTTGTTAGAAAAGAGAGTCCAGGAGAGATATTCGTCTCTGCCAAGACAACAACACGTTGGACACCAGCCAAGGAAACGTTTATCACAATTACTGCTCAAGATGCACAAGATAGCCCTTCTTCTCTCCATGCTACTGGCTCCGTTACATCAGCTCCATTACAGCATTGACATAACATTTCAAGTCATTATAAGAGGAATACTGCAGCGTTTTGCGAGGTTGGCAGGATAGTAACAAGGTTAACTTCAGTTAAACACAATGCTCAGATGCAGAGCACAGTGGGCCAGAATAGGGGGTCATACTATAATAGACCATCAGTGATCAATTTAGATCATTTCAAACATTATTTTTTACTTCAAATCAGTTGAATATTGATTTTTAAACAAATTTTGGTCCTTTATAAGTCACAGAAAAAATTTTTTGGCTCATTCCATAGAAATTTTTCATGGCTGAAATGTAGGTCTAGAGGCATCCAATTAGAGTTTTTGCTAAAGATAATCGTTGAATGTGTTTAGAATGATTTTAAATTGATAGTCCTGAGGCTATTGATCATTTTAGTTTTTGAATTATGAAAAAATATTGATCGTAGCCAAAGTTATGTCAAATTGAAACCAGAAAATTGGGCGCGAATGCCAGAAATTTCTGAAATTGTCAGAAAATACCAGTAAAATTCCAGAAAAATAGCATTTTTTGATGATATTTCCAAAACAGACCACTTTTTAGTACCCCATAACCTCATGGCACCAGGCCACGACATTGAGAGCCAAGAAAGATGTTCAAAATGGGGTTTGTTTGAGAAAAAATAATTTTTTTCAAATCTGCAAGGTAAGTCTAAATTCCATCAAATTTGGGCCTTTTTTCAACTTTGGAATTTTTTTCTGAAAAAGACCCAAAAAAACCCAGAACAGTTCTTCTACCATTGTTTAGAGAATCGTCTGAGCTTTCAGATGGTACCATGCATTAGTGGGGCAACCTGAGGCAAATAAACTTTTTTTGGCCAAATTTAAGCAAAAATTAGTCAAAAATGAGGCCTAAAATTGAGTGCGTGCCAAAAATTCAGCTTAAATGATATGATTACATGGTTTTTTGCATGAATTGAAGCAAAGAGAGTACTTTCACCTTGATTAGGAGTCAATATACGGTGTTTTAAGCCAATTTTAGAAATAAAATGATGGGTTATGCCAATTTTGACTGCCAAAAGTGAAAAAATTGGCAGTCAAAAAATTTTGTAAATTCGCCGACGCGCTGCGCGAAAGCCATTATTAATCAATTCAATTATGGTTTTTTGCATCTAATAGCCAAGATTTTTTACTGCAATACAAAACTTACTTAATTCCTTTTAAAAGAACTCAATTTTTCGTCTATTATAGTATGGTGGCCCACTGTGCAGAGAAGGTTTGTGTTCTGGGCTGCCTTGTTGTCTTTGTTGCCATGGTTAACATACATTCTTCTGATCAGGACTCGGGAGTTTTTTAGAACTTTTTGTACTTTCAGCTGTCTATAATTATCCAAACGGACAGATCACATTAGACACAAATCAAATCACAGAGGATATGATAAATGATAATCGTATATTTTGACATCTCCAATTTGCACAGTGCGTTACATTGAACACTTTATCAACTTTATAAACTAAACTAATAGTAATATTAAAAGTTGGGGTGCCTCTAAATCTATCGCTGATGAGCTGTCTTTAAGGAACCATATTATATAGTAAGGGCAATGCGAATGCTATTTTTATCATGTCATCTCCTTCCATTATATTCTATTTCCTGAATTTTTAGAAGATGTCACTGTTTTGCTGGCTAATAATCTTAACGCTACACGGGCATTAAGTCAAATACACCACGTTGATATTGATTTTAAGCACATTTTATGGAAAGTCCCCAAAACGGGGTACATTACAAATTATTAAAAAAGGCCCTCTAGTGCGCTTAAACATAATACATGGTCAGAATTGCTTGCTCCCTAATCCCTTTTATTCATCTTGCCCATTTATGGCAATATTTGAATTAAGTCTAGGTTATGAGACAAATTACCCGAGCAAATCTCGGAGGATCAAGGGATCACAATTAAATTGAGAGCTGCATCATGGTATTCATTTCGTCAGAACTTGTCCTGGAGACGTTTACTGCTCCCACCAAGTGCAGATCTTTGTATTGATTACACTTCAACTTATAATAAAGGTGGTGCTCTACTTTATCATGACTCATATATACCAAGAAGAAAACAAAATGTTTAATACACACCGTACTAATGGGACTTGGGAACATTCCAGAAATTCAGATATATTAACCATCCTGCAGATTGAATGGAAGTTATCCGACAACTTAACCACGCCATTTAAGAATAAAAAGAGCCCTCGAAATACAGGTAAAAACGGAACTTTGAAACAGAACTAAAGCAATGTTACTGAGTCCAGAAGTAAAGTGAGACTGTGTCATGTACTCTAGTCTCTAGAGTACTGCACAAAGTGTTTAATGCTGAACTGGAATATTGTCCCACAGGTGCACATAGTGTGACGTCATCATGTTTCGAAACTTTGCGCTAATTCGAATTTTCTAGAACCTAACGTCCTAAGTTAATACATGATTAATTTAGAAGGTAATGTGTTTTATTGATGAGTAAAATGGAGATAATATTGTGGGATTCAAGGCTATGATGAAATATGTTTGATACACTCCAACGAAGACTGCGACAGTAGATTAAAATTACATTAATTTGTTTGAACCTATAGAAAAAGATAGCACTCTAGTGGTATTATCAGAGGTACGTAGAACAAAATGTATGAAAAAGCCAATTTCGGGAAAATTCCTTAAATTACGTCAGAAAATTGACCACATGATGAAATGAAATGAACTAATCCATAAAAGTTCTGGCGGATGGAATGATCGAAACCCTGTAAAAATGTACAGAATGTTTGTCCTTGTTCGTTCGTTATGGTAAAATAGTAGTTCGAGGGAATAAGTGCTTCGACCTGTAGACTCCAGAACCACAATTTGGAAGTGATTCAAAATAAAGCTAAAAAACAGCTAAGTAGTGCCGGTCCGTGGTAAAAAACTTATGAATTCTAACTAAATCTAAAAATATAGAGTGGGTAAGGTAAAACTGTAATCCTATTCGTAAGATCTAAGATAAAATCTAGATAATGATTTGATAATCGATCGTAATTCCCAGAAAATCATCATATTACTGCTTATTCCTTACGATATTGTTCCTTACGATATCACAATTTAACACAGGTCCTGATGTACAAGGAAGGCACCGCTGTCTATAGTATTGTTATCTTGATATGCGAATACAAGAGCAGAGCCAGTGTATATTAAGTTAAACAGAGGAACCTAAAGAGTTTAAGCTCGTGTATTTTTAAGTAAAGAGTAAAGTGACCACAATATTTTATCCTCTGAAAAGTCTCAGGATATGATGCCAAGATCCTACAGGCCAGTTATAATATCAACTGAATGGAGATTTATAGAGGCCGGTTATTATGGGATGGTGCTGTTTTTTACAGCAGCCATAGCCGATCAGATTACAGCATCGACCAATTAAACCTGGGGATCATTCGTAAAAAGTCAACAGAAAGTGCTTTAAGTCAACTGTGAAATAACCTATTCTATGTTTTCGAGGAAAACGAAATTAACAAGATACACTTACTCAGATTGAAAGTTGTTGGACATGTTGGGACTGCTGAACTGGTTGAAGTGGCCGGTGGTAGGATAAGGCTGGTAGAAACTGTTCTGGTCGTAGTACATGCTCTGTAGGTCTACTTGGTTGTGTGTTCCTCCTCCTCCTCCTCCTCCTGCTCCTCCTCCTCCTCCTCTTCCTCCCCCTCCTGACATGTCGGCTCCTCGTGGCTGATCCACGCTCTGATGTAGGAATGTGCAGATTAATCACAATTAGCTGGAGCCCAGGGGAATTAACACGACGAGTTACATTGACTGATATCTTTGATAAAGGGAATCTTATTTTTCTAGATGTATTACTTTTCTGATAATTTTGTCTATCATAACTCACCCTGTTGTATCGGCCGCTGTTTGTGTAGGTTTTAGCCCTGGTAGCGTTCCCGTGTTCCTGCATAGCTGGCATTCCGTTTGAATTCCACGTGGTGTTCATGATTTCTTGAAGTTCACGTGCGTAGTCTGGTCTGGAGGAAGGTAGATTCTCTGCAGAACTTGGACCTGGATTTACTTTTTTCTCTTTTAGTGCCTGCAAACAAATTAGTTGAGATAACAATGATATTAAACCACAAGAAAGGTTAAACATAAGTCATTTTACAATCTGATGTTAGGCAGACCATGTTCATTTGAGGATGTCATTTAGAATATGCTCACCTTATTCAACTGGTTTGCGCTCCAAAGATTCTCCTCTTCTGCATCAACCTGAATGAGTTAAAAAGTGAAGTGTCGCAAACTTTCAGCTCAGCATAAATCAACAAAATGATACTTAATGAATAATAGATTAATGCTCAATATAACCAGCCTCGAAAGCGTAAAAATTTAAATTTAATTTATATTGATTGAAATAAATTTTCGTGCACATACAGAATGAATGGTTAATAATTTAATATATATTGATTGAAATAAATTTTCGTGCACATACAGAATGAATGGTTAATAATTTAATATATATGTAGACCAAGGTCTGTGCACGGGATGCTTCCTGGAAGAATCCAGTTCTTTTAGCGGGGCACCCTACCTAAAGCCAAATTGAGATATAATAATCATATTCCTAGAGAAATAATCAGAAATCGAATACCAATCAAATAATATGATATATAGGAGTAGTAACCATATTTACTATGCAAAATGCCCCAACCACATAGTGTAAATTTATATAGAATTCAAATTCCATATCATCATTAAACCTCAATAGTCAATATAATAGCCCAAGCAAAATTAAATAACTTCTTATATACCTTACTGTCATACTACAAATTAATTAAACATTTGAAATCTGTTAACCAGACAATAAATTTCTAAACCTAATGCAAGTGAAATAATTTAGATGCAATAATGAATGCCTAATGTGAGTATCATCTGTCAATGTCCTTGTAAAACAGTCTGTACAAGAGATATGTTCTTTGATTGAGAACTAAAAATAAGTCAAAATGTAATGACTAATGATGGCATTGCAAGGTAACTGGATCTACTGAATTCGACTGAATTTGTCTTCACTTACTGTTTCCAAAGAGTTGAGTGATGTTGTATCGTTTGAAGACAGAAATATTGTCTCCAAATCCTCAAGAAGTCGGACTGGGTCTTTCAATTCACACCTTGAGCATGCCTTGCTTTATTTTATGATTAAATTTTGTTTCCTCAGAAATAGAGCAAATGTGTATAACCGATTAACATTACTAGAATTTGGAACGAGAGAGATTGTTTTATTTACACTTTCAGAGGTTGCTAATTTCCAGGATTAGCTTACAATTTTTAAGCAGTATCAAATATTGATTCTTGCAGCTATTTTAAAATGTCATCTTTACTTACAGAAAATAAAAAACCAGATCAGAAATGAAGGTGCTGATGAAAATGTCAAAAAACTCAGCAAGAAAGATCAGCATGAATTTCTTAAAATTAGGTAGAAATACAAATGAAGCACTAGAAGAACCTACTTGATGGGTGAAACTGAATCAAGATTGGTTGAGGGGTCAACGAAAAGCTCCTCCAATTGGTCTAGAAGCTTGTCCGTCTTACTTGAGCTATCTTAAAATATCACGACTAACGATTAGAACAGAGAACAGGGTAAGATAAAAACTTGTATAGCTTCCTAAGGAGGAGCCGTCACACAGCAGCTAGAAACTTTGCTGTGGCCGGTTTGATTTCATACGCCGTGAGGCTGAGTAAGGGCTCTACATTTCATTTTAGAAAAATACAAATAGACCATCTACAACAACTATTTAAACATGAAATGTGATTCAAGGTGATTTTATTTGAGTAGAATCATCTTAATCTTAAGACAAAAATTAGATAACATTATTTTCACATAATCAATTTTAGACATCATAATTTAAAAGTCCACAGGGATTGTTCAATTATAGAATCGTGAGTTACTTTGTCAATGAGATCAATAATTTTTGGTCAAAAACTTGAGACTCCTTTGCTTCCAAGTTAAAAATCCAACAGGAAAAAATCTCTGAAAATGTATAGTTATCGGTCTTCTATTCGTGTGAATTTAAGAAATTGCCAAGCAACACTCGAAAAACAGCAATTACTACCTGCCATTTTAAAATCTTTGATTACCTCCGGCATGTATAAAGGGACTTCCAACCCTAAAAAACAAAATACGGCGTAACTAATGAATCATTTCAATGAAACAATAAGTCTTATTTTACATTCCTTTAATCATAAATTGGACAAGAGCTCAATTCGAACCACGATTAAGTTAACTAGAAATGAACTTGAGGAATATGTTCAGTGATGATTACATATAAGTCCCCCTGCAGAGTGACTGGTATGCATATAGTTAGTGACTGGTATGCATAATAGTTACCCTGAATTGCTTTTGTTTAATTTGTAAAGATTTTGATTATTATTGTATAAATTGGCATAAATTGAAAACTTTGTTCAACTTGTAACTTTGTTGAACTAATGATGACAGTTTATGTATTCTAGTGTAAATTTGTATTAATCCCGTTTGATGCGACAAGGAAAATTGCTCTAATTAGGAAAGGAATTTTTCAACGTTTCGATGTTACAACATCGCGTCGTATTCATGATCTAAAAATATTTAAATCAAAATTTAAAACGTAAAAAACATAGATCAGAGGTAAACTTAGAGTACAATTATTTACTTTAAATTCAATCAACTTTATCAAAAAATGCTATACAAAATTAGTAGTCTTTTCCTGATAAAAGCATTTTTTTGTCGCATCAAACGGGATTAATACAAATTAATACACAATATATTGTAGCGCGATGCACTACTGGGCCGCGTCGCACCGCATATTCTCGATCAGTAGATCGGCGAGATGCACCACTCGTGCGCGGCGGGTCATACAACGTATAACAAGCGCGCGCCGGGCTTCGCGCGCGAAAAGTGGCATGCAACGTATGTCAAGGTTTTACATAAACCTTAACCATAACCTCGAAGCTATCCATAACCCTAAACAATTGAATTCGTGTTTTACTAGCCTGTCACATGATCGAAATAGTTTTTGCCCATATATTACGTCGCTGGTTACTGGGCCGCGCTCAGCCTGTCATTCCGCCTAATCTCTATTCGGTTGTTTACCAACATTAAAGCCTGGGGTCCTCAGGTAAGTCGCTGGGAGTGATTTGGAATCAGTGTCCTAAATTCATCGACTTAAATTACTTTCATACCCTTAGGACCTTCTCACTAGAATTTTTAAAAATTTGGGCGAGCGATTTATATTATATTAGGGGCCGTTCGCATATTACGTTGACCATTGTTAATGGTCTGGCCCGGCGCGCGCTACTTCGTAGCACTTGCCGTCGGGTAACATTTCGAGAAGAAAGCGGCGCGCGCGTCTTCGAAGAAACTTAGCCAGTACTGCGTAAATACGTAATCAATTTTTTACCCCTCCGTATCAACAACCGTATATAACAAAACTGCCCCCGACACCCATTTTTGAGTGAAATAAGTGCAAAGCACTTAGAAATCATATCGATTTTGTTTTAACACGAAAATGTATGATACATAATTGAACCGAAACATGTTCTATTGTATTATCGAAAATTCGTAAAAAATAAAATTTTGATTTAATAACGACAAACCTTGTTGTTACAACTTACCGGACGCGCGCGATTGGTATCGTCGACGGTCCTGTAGAAGTCCATATATGAAAATATTTACGATTACCCGTAATCCAAACCCCACCCCCCCCCCCGTAATCAACCGTAAGCATTGAAAACCCCCCCCTCGACTGATTACGTAATATCAATATGTGAACGCCCCTTAGTGGGAGCGCTATTTTACACTTTTTTTAATGTATGGTGTAAAAAAGGTGTAATTGTAGAGGCCCTTAAATAAGACGTCATGCTTTTGCCGGTGAAGTTAAATCCTGCATGCAATGTGACTGGGTTCAACAAATCTCTTATTACTTACTTACTTTGTAAGTGTCAGTCTTTATTAGCAGCAGGTACCCCATACTGGTATACCGTACAGTGTTAGAAAATCGATAGAATTTCAATGCTATCATCCAAAATGTACTATTTTTTGGATTATATTTCCCATATTTGGTGATGTACAAAATCAGAAATGTGACCAAGTAAGAGTTGGTTGGACGTTACTTGTAGGGGGTTCTTCAAAGAACCAAAAATTAAGGTAAAATTTGAGCTTCCTTTAAAAAAGTGGTTGTCAACAGGACCCTATCATTGCAGGCTCCCAAGTGGTGCTTCCTAAAGAGTCCAACTTGATGGTATAACAGCTGCACTGCAGCTAACTCCAGTATTATTAGTAGTAAGTTAATAATTGTACGAGGGTAGTATCTGCCTGATTAACGCGTTTAGTCGACACCACTTTTTCCATCGTCTAGGTCGGTTCCATGAGTCCTCAAAGGGTGTCTACTGAACAAGTGTATACAATGAACTACTTCAGGACACATTTACATGTTGTCACATGATATCTGTATCAAAGCTAAAGGTTACATCATTGGTGTATCCAGCTCAGGAATTCTTGGGTTTTACCTGGATAAGTGTACCCCGGTCACCCGGTTACCTGGAGAGGTGTCTCCAGGTAACCAGGTTACATGGTTACCTGGTTACCTCATCACCTGGTTACCTGGTTACCTGGTTACCTGGTTACTTGGTTACCTGGTTACCTGGTTACCTGGTTACCTGGTTACCTGGTTACCTGGTTACCTGGTTACCTGGTTACCTGGTTACCTGGTTACCTGGTTACCTGGTTACCTGGTTACCTGGTTACCTGGTTACCTGGTTACCTGGTTACCTGGTTACCTGGTTACCTGGTTACCTGGTTACCTGGTTACCTGGTTACCTGGTTACCTCATCCCCTTGTTACCTGGTTACCTGGTTACCTGTTTACCTGTTTACCTGGTTACCTGTTTACCTGGCTACCTGTTCATCTGTTTACCTGGTTACCTGGTTACCTGGAGAGGTGTCCCCAGGTTACATGGTTACCTGGTTACCTGGTTACCTGGTTACCTGGTTACCTGGTTGCCTGGTTACCTGGTTACCTGGTTACCTGGTTACCTGGTTACCTGGTTACCTGGTTACCTCGTCACCTGGTTACCTGGTTACCCGGATAAGTGTATCCAGATTACCTGGTTACCTGGTTATCGGGTTACCTGGATAACCCAATGAAGAAGGGTTATTTGATATTTTGACCAACATGAAACGATTTTTATTTAAAATTTTAAAAGGCAATGCCTACGGTTGATAGAAATCTAGCCTCCGCTAACCAGCGCAATTCTTGTTAATAAAACTGTTCGAGGGTACTATCATGACGTACTTAATCTAACAGAGCCGCTTATTTCAATTGTTCTATTGGTCATGAGTCTTCAAAAGGACCGCTACAAATGGGTTACACTGCTCATGAAGCACCAACATGGAAATGTATTCTGTCTGAAACACAGTCTTTATTAGCAGCATGTACCCCATACCATACAGTGTTAGCATTGTGGTAAAACTAAATACCTTATCGGACTTTAATTGGACGCTGGAGACCCTAGCGTTCATTTTAATGTCTGTTGAAATAAAATGAACGCTAGGGTCTCCAGCGTCCAATTAATGTAGCTCAATTTTTAAACCGCATGAGTGTAGATATCGGCTCAGACGCTCTTAATCTTCCAAACCCTTTCATCTTGCGTTAAAGTGCGTCAATCAAGGGACGAACACAAAGAGTGGGGGGGGGGACACAAAGAGGACCCTCATGACACATTTCCATGTTGCACCCTATCTCCTGACATCATCACCACGGAATTTATACCAGTGTGATAGATCAAGATGTTTACTTAACCAGCTAGCTCAACACGAAATCTCATAATTTGTATCAAGCAACCTCGCAAAGATGCTTCAATCCCTTTCTCTTCTCGCTCTGCTCTCCGCTTCGTGCGCTATCTGGCTGGACCTCTACGAGCACGACAATACCAATGGAAACAAGGTACGACTGACTGAACCTGTAGATTGGCTTGGAAATGTCCACTTTAATGACGCAGCATCCAGTGCACGAGCTGACGGGAACTGGGAACTGTACTCTAACTGGAACTTTGAAGGGCTGAGGATGGTAGTGGAAGGTGGTCGTCACTACAACAACTTGGGGGGAACCTTCAACGACGCAGTCTCCTCAGCTCGACCTACCTGTATTTACACAGGGGATGCTAATGATGCCCTGCTAGAAGTTTGGGAGGATGGTGACCACCGTGGCAACAAGAAGTCCTACACGAAGGATGAATCGTACTTGAACGACTGGAACGACAAGATTAGCTCGGCGTGCGCTGTTAAGGGGGACTGGGAGTTATACGAACACTACCTCTTTACAGGAGTTAGATGGGTGATAAAAGAGAACGAATGCCATAACATAGTGGCACACAATGATTACTACACCTCCCTGCGACCTCTCTGTGCCAGCTACCACCCAAAGTGTACTGTACAGAAAGTCAGGGTGGGGTCCCAGGGTTTGTTGACGCCCAGATACGAATCAACAGAAGGTTATCGGCGCTAACGATGGTGGCACGTGCACTGGCCCGTCCACATATACCCTGAGCATGCAGCACTCGAGGACAGTCACGGAATCGACCACGCTTGAGTTCGGGGAGAGTAACGAGGATAATTGGGACGTGTCGGTGACAGTGGAAGTGGAGGCAGCTGCCAAGGTGTTTGGAGCAGGAAGTTCGGTGACCATGGGTGTTTCTGTTGGGTTCGGAGGATCCCGAACCGTCTCCAAATCAGAATCTACGACAAAAGAAGTGGCTCACCAGTCTTTGGTAGGGATGAGTGTAGCTTTTCCAGTGCCCGGAGCAGCTTTAGTGTTCGGACTGGTAGACAAGTACAAGATGGATGGGGCTGACGTACCAGCCACAATGGAGCTGCTGTGTCCTGATGGCAGCACCAAAGAGAAGAAGACCCACATAAAAGTGAAGTCCACTACCTTCTCTTTACCTGGTCTGCAGATACCTGCTTAAAAGATACATTGCTTTTGAAATGCAACGGTTAAACTTTGGAACAGGCATGAAATGTAGCGGTCCGCTTGTTTAATAAAGTATTAAGTTTAAAATAACTTATTGATGTTATTAAGTCATTTTGCAAATACCCTAATTGTGTTCATTCAACAATAAGGAACTCGCTTCTAAAAATCATTTTGCACCCAAACGTTCATGATGTTACTCTAAAATAATACTTCCTTTATGAAGCGAGTGTTTGTTTTATTTTTGAACATCCCAGATACATAACAATGATCAATTTAACATCATAGAACAGTCTTCGTTTTCAATCAGATCTATGTTAAATGCATCTGAAAGAAACGAGTTGCTCAATAATGTTTTCAAATCACCCAACATACATAACACTTAATTTGTATAATAAATGTTTACTTAATGCATCTATTACACAAAATACTTGCTTAAGCACCTATATTTACCTTGTTTTTCTTCATCTATACGTCGAATTATAATATTAGGGTAATAATCGCTTGACATTATCCGAACTCCCGATTTTGCGCGACGTATCATGCTTTGAATCCTCAATTCCATCTAAGTTGGCGAATGGCTACTGTTCCTCGAGTGATATAGTTGAATGTTGATTATATAACTCATCTAAACTAACGCTTTCCTTGCACCAAACTAACCATCAAATAAGCAATTAGTTTATACAGTGTAAAATGTCATCCATGAGAATACGAGATTCTTTCGTTTTGCAACAGAACGTGGACAAAAAGAATGTAATTCTGCGAAGATCGATACTGAGAATTTCCTTTAAAATTAATTATATGCTTATTATCATATTATAAATATATACTAGTGATATAAAGCCTGATCTGGTTAACGTACAAGCCTACAGGTTACACTCAATCAAGTATAACATTGCTTTCGCACTTAGAATTCTCTAAACTTCCCCTGTTTTTTTGTCCATACTATACGGTACGGCCAAATAATAATATATTTAGTTGTATAATAATCGTTGACATTAGTAACGGATCACAGGCAGTGACGGTATTTGGGACGTTTTTCGCTGGAATAAAACAGTCCTTAAATTAACTTCTGGCGGGTAAATTGGTAGAATGCGTACGTGCTCGCTGATGCATTGCAAAGAAAGATTGGTGACATCGTCAATATAAAATACCAAGACTAACTATAACTGGGTCCAGTGTAGACGTAGTGCAGTCCAAACAGATGGCACATCCGTCGACAGCACATTGTCGATGCCAATTATTGACAGTGTCGCATGACCTCGGACATCGAGATCGTTTTTGGGCGACCGGCACGAATCGACGAATTGCAATTGGTTACATCGTAGTTTACAAGCTCGACGGCGGACTGTGACGTCTCCAATTGTTTAATGTATGTAATTTGTCTATCATGATAAAAGTATTGACGTATTGGGACAGATCGTGCTGCCGTACACTAACAAGCTGAATGTCTGAGTCATACACAGGACACGTCTCATCAACATTTAAAGAAGCGTAGGATTTTCGGATTGAAAACTTCATTAAAATTAAATATTGTCCAATTAACTGAAAACTTATTGGAAGTAAAACTATTGTTCCTCACTTTTGAGTGGGTCCGAGAAATTTAACTCCGCCTACTGACATCCGGGAATGTAATGCACATACTATTAAACCGTTAGCTTCAGAGCTTCAGATATCGCAGAACCCTAATTAACTAGAAACATGTTATGTACATTTTGCCTAACTTCTTGCTGTAAGAAAGAAGAAATCACTACACCTAACTAACCTTCTTTAAGGAAACCTTCATGGACAGATATATAAAGCAAAGACTTCGTTTTGCATTACATGTTCTACCGTCTACAGCAACCTGTTCAACAACTCCTTTTTGCAACCATCCAATGGCCAGCGCTACGAGGGACCACATAAGCTTTCCCCGGGACGTTCTACTTGAAGACCTGAATCCTCTAGGCCATCGAAAGTCCACCCCCGACATTAGAATGTTTTATTCACCCTAAATTTAAGCAAGGATTTCCATTCCAACGTCAATAAATAAACCCACTAAACTAAACTGGTCATCCATGTTCACCAAACTAGCCAATAAAAATAATGTTAATTATGACATGTAATGTCAACCTTCGAATCGAGATCGTTGTTTTGCGAAGCAGAGCAACGATCGACGAAGCAAGATGCTAGTTTGCGCGTCGAAGCGGCGAAGTCCTCCAATTTTAGATTATTATATTTTTCTATATTTGTATAATAAGTATATTGACGTAGTGGATGGTTGAGCCTGAGTGCTGAGGGGGTATCAAGCACAGGTCACTCTCAAATCCTAAAGATAAGCAGTGGCTTTCGGCACTTGAAACTTCTTCAAACCTCCCCTGATTTATTTGTTATTGATATTGTTTGATTGTGGATTGTGCCGTAAAAATAAATATTTGTTTTATTAATATTTGTTTTATATTAGTACGTGAATACACATGGCTATGTGAAGGGTTTATGTAAAACCGTTTTGTACGGCTTCGCAAAACCATAAAAACCAAAGTCACGTTAAAATTGAAATTTTTGGGCGAGCGAATTAGTAAAAGTACGTTGCTCTGCTTGATCGCGATTGCAAAGCAAAGATTTCGGGTTGACATCGTCAATCAAAATGCACCATGCACTATGTCTATACACTGGGTGCAGTGTAGACGTAGTCGACAAGTCCAACAAGATTGGGCGACATCTGTCCGACAGCGACATCTGTCCGACAGCCGAATTAGGGATTTCGGACAGATGTCGCTGTCGGACATGAGTCGTTTTTGGCGACATCTGTCCGAATTTCTGATCATATTGTAATTTCGGTTCACATTCGTATTTCACAAGCTCGCGGGTAATCTCGTGACGTTGCTCCCATTGTTCTAATGCTGATGTGACCCATTGAGATCTGATCCATCGATACGTGATTGACTATTTGAGGACAGGATCGTGCTAGCCGTACACTAACAAGCTGTAACAAGATGTCGATCACATCACAGGACACAGCCTACATCATACATGTGGTATGGATATTTATATAAAATTTATATAAAATTTAAACTATTGTCCAATTTATCGACATGAAAATAAACTTATATGGCAGTAAACTATTTGTTCCTCACTTTGGAGTGGGTCCGAGCATTAGACTCGCGCTACTGACATCCGGGAATGGTAATGCACGGATACAGTTAACGCCGTGTAGCTTCAGAGCTTCAGAGGATCCTGCCCAGAACGCTCTCCATTTTAACTAGAAACATGTTGATGTCACAGTTTCTAGCCTACTTCTGCTGTAAGAAAAGAAGAAATCACATACACCTAACTCCGTTCTTTACGGAAAGATTCCATCGGGGACAGATATTATAAAGACACGAAGACTTCGTTTTGCAGGACATGTCTACCGTCTACAGGACCAACCTGTTCAACAACTCCTTTTTGGCAACCATCCTATGGCCAGCGCTACCGAGGACGACCACATAAGACCTTCCCGGACGTTCTACTTGAAGACACATAGAATCCTCTATCGGGCCATCGAAAAAGTCGACCCCCCGGACAGTGTAGAAACTGTTTTATCACCACTCCAATCAAGCAAGGAGTTTCCATTCCGACGTCAATTAATATAAACCCAAACTAAAACTAAACTGGGCTCTCATCTCATGTGTCACCAAACTAGACCAATACCAAATAAGCAATTTTAGATGTTATTGACAGTGTCAATGGTCAACCCATCGAGATCGAGATCGTTGTTTTGCGAAGCAGAGCAACGATCGACGAAGCAAGAATGCTAGTTTGCGCGTCGAAGCGGCGAAGTCCTCCAATTTTAGATTATTATATTTTTCTATATTTGTATAATAAGTATATTGACGTAGTGGATGGTTGAGCCTGAGTGCTGAGGGGGTATCAAGCACAGGTCACTCTCAAATCCTAAAGATAAGCAGTGGCTTTCGGCACTTGAAACTTCTTCAAACCTCCCCTGATTTATTTGTTATTGATATTGTTTGATTGTGGATTGTGCCGTAAAAATAAATATTTGTTTTATTAATATTTGTTTTATATTAGTACGTGAATACACATGGCTATGTGAAGGGTTTATGTAAAACCGTTTTGTACGGCTTCGCAAAACCATAAAAACCAAAGTCACGTTAAAATTGAAATTTTTGGGCGAGCGAATTAGTAAAAGTACGTTGCTCTGCTTGATCGCGATTGCAAAGCAAAGATTTCGGGTTGACATCGTCAATCAAAATGCACCATGCACTATGTCTATACACTGGGTGCAGTGTAGACGTAGTCGACAAGTCCAACAAGATTGGGCGACATCTGTCCGACAGCGACATCTGTCCGACAGCCGAATTAGGGATTTCGGACAGATGTCGCTGTCGGACATGAGTCGTTTTTGGCGACATCTGTCCGAATTTCTGATCATATTGTAATTTCGGTTCACATTCGTATTTCACAAGCTCGCGGGTAATCTCGTGACGTTGCTCCCATTGTTCTAATGCTGATGTGACCCATTGAGATCTGATCCATCGATACGTGATTGACTATTTGAGGACAGGATCGTGCTAGCCGTACACTAACAAGCTGTAACAAGATGTCGATCACATCACAGGACACAGCCTACATCATACATGTGGTATGGATATTTATATAAAATTTATATAAAATTTAAACTATTGTCCAATTTATCGACATGAAAATAAACTTATATGGCAGTAAACTATTTGTTCCTCACTTTGGAGTGGGTCCGAGCATTAGACTCGCGCTACTGACATCCGGGAATGGTAATGCACGGATACAGTTAACGCCGTGTAGCTTCAGAGCTTCAGAGGATCCTGCCCAGAACGCTCTCCATTTTAACTAGAAACATGTTGATGTCACAGTTTCTAGCCTACTTCTGCTGTAAGAAAAGAAGAAATCACATACACCTAACTCCGTTCTTTACGGAAAGATTCCATCGGGGACAGATATTATAAAGACACGAAGACTTCGTTTTGCAGGACATGTCTACCGTCTACAGGACCAACCTGTTCAACAACTCCTTTTTGGCAACCATCCTATGGCCAGCGCTACCGAGGACGACCACATAAGACCTTCCCGGACGTTCTACTTGAAGACACATAGAATCCTCTATCGGGCCATCGAAAAAGTCGACCCCCCGGACAGTGTAGAAACTGTTTTATCACCACTCCAATCAAGCAAGGAGTTTCCATTCCGACGGCTGTATCCTGGAGCTGGAGGCTCGTCCGTTGACCATTGTTAATGATCTGACCCGGCGCGCGCTACTTCGTAGCTCTTGCCATCGGGCATTTCGAGAAGAAAGCGGCGCGCGCTACTTCGAAGAAATTTAGACGAGTAACATCCGTCAAGCTCGTCCGGAAATGACTTCACAAAGTTCGTTAAAGCTGCTTTGAATTGCATAGGATCCTCGATGGTGTGCATATGTGTTGGGATTACATTCCATAATCGAGGTCCAGTAACTGCAAATGAGTTGTCATGTAGTGCTTGATTACGTTGACTACTGGACTTAGCTATACTGGGCACAACTGCTTTTTGACCATGTCTGAGAGTCACCGAGAACTGGATACCAATATCATTAGGGCACTTGCAATGCAGAACTTTCCACATGTTGATGATTAAATACCGTTCTTTTCTTCTTTGCAATGACATCAGATCTAGGGCCTTTAATCTCTGTCAGTAGTTGAGGTGCTGGGTGCCATCTATTTTCGATGTAAACGTACGCTGAATCCCTTCTAGCTGTTGGATGTCCTTGTTCTTAGAGCAATTCCACAGAGGACAGCAATACTCCAGATGACTTCTAACGAGAGACTTGTACAGAGTCATCATGGTGGCTTTGTCTCTCGTTTTGAACGCACTTAGCACCCAAGAAGCAACTTTTCCTGCGCGTTCAGCTATCCTGTTGACGTATGGGGTCCAGGACAAATCAGCGGAAACTGTCACTCCTAGATCTTTCACAGTTTGAGTGTGGTACAGCATGTTTCCGTTAGACACTTCATATGTTTGAGCTTGGATGGCGAATGGATGATCAAACAAGGAGTTCTTTGGACAATGCTTGTGAACAAGAAGCTCGAACTTATCCTCATGAAGGGCCATGTTGTTGCACTTAGCCCAATTAACAACAGAGTTGAGATCATCCTGCAGGACATCTTTGTCGGCCAAACTGTAGATATGCTTATTAATATTATATCTGGGTCCCGTTGTCGCAGATCTGATCTGGCAGATGGTTCTGGAGTGCACGTGTGGTTATATCAACTTCAATTATCGATTGTATTTTTTAAATGGTCAACATTTATTTGCTATTTTGATATTTTTCAGTGCCAAAAATTTGAACAAGATGTAGAACAAATGAAGATACCGTCATTTTCATCACTGAAACCAGCTTAATCAAAGTAATATCACAGTAATAATTTATACAATTCTCTGAAATTCAAATAATCCAACAGTAGTGTTTATTAATTTATTATCTTAACCAAAAATGTCAAATTCTCGAAGAAAAATGGGTAAAACTTTAAAGAAAAAGCCCAATAGAACAATCTGCGTCTAGTGCCAGCACTTGAACCGCCAATGAGCAACTTAATTCAATGACCATGATAAATTCAGCTCTGCTTGTAATGTTAGAAACTGTTTCAGGGAGGGGCAAGTTATAAGGTAATAAGCAGTGCTAGCAATAACGGTTTATGTTAGAATGTTCCATGCTAAGTTTAACATTAAAACGTTAAAAACGTATGAACCCTTTAAGAGTTATGAAATCTAAGATCTCATGATCATATCCCATGAAATCTTGCTGAATATAAAAATTTAAAACATTATAAAAGAACATCCCTTAGTTCTTCTTTTTAGATGCTTTGCCCTTGCCGAGAGTTACTTTCTTCTCGAGTTTTTCAGCAGGGTGGAAGGGTAGGGAGTTTTTCCTAAAGATAGGCCAGGGTGGCATCACAACCTGAGGAGAGAAGTATTGATCAGTCACAAAATTATCCGCCATTCCGCGGCATTAACGTTAAATATGCTAACGTCTCATAACGGCATAACCCCCTCAACTTACACTCTCCGGACATTTGGTAACTTTTAACCCCAGACTCAGAATGTTAATAACAACCCCCTTGAGTTGGGAGGTAATATGTCAAGGGGTATTTAACACAGTGTTGGAGGTTAGCCAGGTTATGACAGGGGCGATCATTTGACCAAAACTGGACAACATTTAACGGAAATAGCTGAGGTTAAAGTCCTTTTTCTGAGTTGGGCAATTTAATTCTGCATGAAGATTGAATTTAAAATGAAAGACGGAAGTATCGGTTCAAGACTTACCAACGAGGCAACTAGAGACCCAGCTGCTACGACGTAGAAGGTTTGCTGGAATGATTCACAGATGTATCCCCAGATAAATCCAGCGATCTGATGGGATTGGGTTATGAATTGCGATGTTGGATTTAAGACCGACAATTTCGTTTATTTTAAATGTATTCATAGTGCTGACTGCTGGGAATGTCTTGTTTTCAAAAGACATACAGGGTGAGTCAAATAGAAAGTCAAGAGGAAATTGTCGTTCACTTACCCCGAAGACGCCCAATATCACGTACTGCAATATCTCTGCTAACTTCTGACCCTCAAAATCCTGGAATGACTTAAGTTAAGCACAAAAAATATGGGGACACAAATGTATCATTACACGTGGTCATCGTATCCGTGCACATGCGTCATTATGATTCTGTAGAATTGAGTAATGTAACAATCACATTTGAGACGAGGTCGGTACAGAAGGATATCACGAAGTTGTACAATCCTAATGCATACATATAACTATAGTAAAGAGTCATTCAACCGTCCTTGACGATTCAAAATGATAATTTTGGGCGGAGTTTGTCCTTGATCTCAATTTCTCAGGCTAGATCGAGAATAATGTAAAAACAAGTGTATGTACTCACCATCTCAGGGATGCGGAACTCGATACCCAACATTTTCTATATCCTAAGAGGAGTGTACGTTAGCAGACTTGTTCAGTGTAATTACGATATACACGATAAGGCCAATAACGGTCATCTCCATTTATAACTCAACGGCAGAGTAATTTGTCTCAGGTTTACAACGAATCAAAGAAGAGCTAAGCGCGCGCGCACGTACTGCGCGTCCGCATCACAAAATAGACTCTGTAAGATTGTGACCAGAATATTTGCTAGTACTATTGCGTTAGTTGCGGGGATGTCCCGGCCTCGCTGTAAAGCCAATGGTCGATTGACAAAGACTCGCCGACGCGGTGCGATGTCTTGACCAGTAATGAGCCGTGCAAGCAGCTGACCGCTGCACATACACTGGATGTACACTCGGTGATACCACACGGTAGTAACTGGGTGTGTTGTCAGCAGTGTGCCACACTGTGAACAGTGTGCCACGCTTGCAGGAGTGTGCCACGCTCGCGGCTCCTGCTCCCTTTGTTCCGCATGACGTCACTGAGTGACGTGACTCTGCGTGTCATTGTGATGTAACGTTACGCGGGGCACGGAAGGGGGCTGTTCACGACATGACATCATGAAGTGTTACAGCGAGATTTGGTTCAGGGAAATTAGTTCATTGCTTATCTGATATTATTGGAATCTTACAGAATTGCATTCTTTATTGTCGCAATATGCCAGAGAATGAATGAGACCTGGGGAAACAATGAGCAAACTTTGTAAGTTCTTTTAACAGATAAAGCGAGCAACTTCTTCTTCTTCTTCGTAGTATATATAAAGTTGGAATGGTTCCAAGTTTCTATGTAACCAAGGAACCGAGAGGAGGACTACTAATTTGCTACATTTATAATTATATAAGTTGGGACAGGTGGCACTCTATTCTGATACCAATTAATATTTTTGCGAGGATAACGTTTAACTTGATGTTACAAACTTCATTCTATCATAGTCCTATCCAATACTTTGTACGACCAAAGTAGTAGTTTATAAACTTGAATAGATTAAGTTATCAGGAACCAGAGACCCCATTTCCAGGACCAACAATACACTTTGCAACGAGTAGGAGACAGGAAGAGTCAGTCTAGAAGACACACTAGATCCCACTAATGAGGAGGGATTTCATCACATAAAGTCTAGCACCTTGATAACTTGATAAGTAACCGTAGTGTTGAGATATTATCAATATTGGAGCTAATCAGCGTACATTAGACTTAGTGTCGTTAATGAGTTCAACACACTGGATTCCGGAGGCGATTTTAACAATATCTTTCATCGATTGTTTATTGTATTAAGTTCTAAATGTGGTGTTAACATATCGGTTGAGATAGGAACAGGGATGGTATTTTGATAGCACTTGTTCTAGTTAAAAGTACACTATTACATATATTACACAAATAAACAGTTTCTAATAAGACCTGAGTTAGATCTCACCACAAGGATTAGTGCTCGTTCTTATTACATCTTTATTGGGACTACTATTAGAAATATGAGCCAGGGTTTATTTAGGGCAAGTTGAAATGTGTATCAACAGAGCATCATGGTAAATCAGAAGAGCTCAGTATTATAAAACTAAGATATGCCCCAAACTTGTAAGGGCAAATTACGATCGAACTATTTATAGCATTCTCATCGATGCTCAATTGATAATATTTTTCTTTGATGCATTGTTTAAATATATAATATAAATATTATCAGCTGTACGAGATTTTGACTGCCATTAAATGATTAAACGTAAAAAATATTCATTTTAGTCAGACACTGCTGATGATACGATGATTCCCCTATTTTTTGGAGTAAATTTTTCTTGGAATCTCACGCTGTATTACAAGCTTTTAGAGCATATTTTCAAAAGGTGCTATCGTATCAAGAGGTCACATGATCCGATCAGGTGACACTTCGGTCCAATGTACTAAGAGCCTGACTTGTGATGTTTAAATATTGAGATTTAGAGATTGTGCAATATAACTCTAGTTATGGTGTTCATTTCGTAATACTAATATCATTTACTAAAGAACCCCTCATAATAATAACATAAGAACAAGACACTACCTAACAGATTAGTGCTTCTGTAGAATGGTTGATCATTCTTTTGAAGTTCAACTCCTTGAACAGTAAAGACTCTAACATTGTACTGGCTAATTTAAATTCTAGATATACTGTCTGGGGTAGTTCACAATAATATGGCCTTGGGCCACATTGGCCTTATATTCCAATAAATCAGACTTGTTGCTTAAGAGTACTCGACGCATCACTTGCATAACAATGCTAACAGCTTTACAACTTGAAGTTAACATATCACAGCCCCAATATTTATTGTACCAGTACCACTGGCTCCAAACCTGCCCAAACCTGCTCAACTCTCTTAAAAATATTGTTTCTAGGTAACCTCTGTAAATGGGTTCCGATATATAATCTAGTTCAAGTCTTCTTGACTATCTAGATGATTTTGTTCTATATCATTCTACTCGTATTCAACAATAAACACAGGCAATCTTAACACTGGGCAATCTTTTGAACAACTTTAAACACTTCCGCGGGACCAGATTCAGTATATTTCGGTATATATTTAAATACCTCGTGTCCATCATCATACCCCCTGACGTGCCCACTATTCGTTTATCCAACTTAAAATCTTTGACTACACAACCACGCGACACCACACTAATACTGGGTGACCACACTACTACACTACTACTGACAAATTTAAGTTTGTGGATTTTTCAAGAACCAAGTTTAAAGAGGTAAGGATCCATTTAAACGATATTTTCTTCTTCGTTACAATTGGGAACTGTAAACTGGTGGAGATTAAAGTTGTCGCAAATGGAGCAGGTTACTCGGTTATCATGCTTTAGTGGGGAGGGAACCAGCATGTGAGTTAAGTACTGTCGCCGTGGCGCCCAGTACAGGTAATACACACCAAGTGGTAGTAGAACACGACATCCCCTTTGATCTCTAATCGACAATCAAAGTGCTTCATGTCGAACTTTCTACTTCTAATTCTGGCCTGGAAGTCGTGCATTTGATGAAGAGGTTTTGTTTTGTCACGTGACAATAGATAAGCATGACGTAACGATCATTGTATGACGTCACGTTTACTTTATCGTGAGTTTAGGGCGGTGTAAACTGTATACACCATACCAAAGTTATGCGAACTGATCCATATATTTTATAACGGCGCGCGGCTGTTTTAATGTTAGGAACAGCGCTTTAGAAGAGAAAAAAAAAACATTTCGATTCGTTCACCAAGCACCTAATTGCTTGTTAACCTTTCTCGTCGTCTAACGGCCAATTTGATCTTATAACTACATCTTATACTGGTGTTTTCTTTGCAATGGATCAGTTCATGAAAGGATATTTTTCTACCATGGAACAACTGATAATCGTGAGGGAATATCAATTTATCACTCTGACATCACGGACGAAAAAGTTGACCCAGCCCTTAGGGCCAACCCTAATATCACCCTCAAATAAAATTAAGAGGAAAATATGACCATAAAAATCCGTTATGCAGGAACTTCCGTTAAACAGCTTGTGACCATGATCAACAAGCAACACATTTCCGCCGTGTATCTAATGAACTCTAAACCTAGTAAACGTAATATACCATCTCTATTAATATTACAAGCCATTACGAGGGGTGCGTGGTCGCTATTTATAAACCCACTCAGCAAACACAGGCTCATATCAAGGAAATATATTTTAGTCACACAGCCTGTGCATTTGTGTATAAAAATATACCTCATGTATGTGTGAGTGTGTGTGTGTGTATTATATAAACGATTATTTTTACCACCGTGCAGTGGGAGATGGTGCGGTGGGAACTGTCACGTGACATTCCGGCTCATAGTAGTGGGTTCCTGGTGTGTTCCAGCTCAATATACCCACCACTCTCACCGTCTTATTGGATCCTAGGGTACCAGAATAGCTGTGGCATACTGCGGGTATTACATAAAGCTATCTATTCTCTTTTCCTAGTCCACGTGTCACGTGGTGGGTCACGTGGTGTGGGTAACTTGTACTTGAGTTGCTGGGCTATAACACGTGATCGTTATGGTTACCAGAGTTTCCTGTAGTGAGCGGCAGTGCGCTGTCTGCGCCTGGTCACGTGGGCGGCCACGCTGTCTGTGCAATGTGCACGTGGGCGGGTCCGCGCGTCACTATTGGTCCCTGGTTCTACCAGACTTTATTATTAGTGATATATATATACCAGCCATGTACTCGTGTATTATAGTGTACTATAAAGTGGTTTGACTGGATATCAAGCTGCTCAGTATCTTATTGTATTCTAATAATAAAGATATTAGCTGAACTCATCCTACCGGGGCCGGCTAGATACGTATCAGACAAAATAGTAAATATAGAAACCACAAACAGCCGATTTATTGCATCTATCTCTTGCCCGTGATGTGGTGCATCAGTGTAACATATGACCTTGTAAACGAAGTTTAGATACATATCATATCAATTAATACTTTTAAGCGCTCAGTTTATAGCTATATCATTTCCTGAAATGTTCCACTTCACTCCCGTCACTCTATACTGCTCTGTCTCTACAAATAAATTAAAATATAATAAAATAAAATAAACTTCTTCATTTATCTTGTAGAGAAGAGAAGTTTCTTGAAAAATAGGACCTTTTCAAAGAATAGCTCTACGTATTGGATGTATTTATAAGCACGACGTAATTTTAACATTTGATTGCTTTTATAAAACTTGAAAGGTGTTCTATAAGAATAACGTAATGTTTTAACGGTACAATATCTCATAATGATCACTAGTGGCGTCAAATGGTGCAAATTGTGGCAAATTGTTAAATTCGTAAATATGATAATCAATTTGTTAACATTATCATTATAAAACGTGGATTTTTTTCCAATGAAGGTTACGGATATAAAGACAAAACATTAGTATCGCCAACGTGCTATAATTCATTGTATTAACAGCAACCAAAAATAAGTTACAGACGTAATGTGTGACGTGGAATGGAACAAATCTCTCTTCATTTACTGCCACAACTTCTCGCATACTTTAAATATTATAACAAATAACTCGTCTTAAAATCGCACATGTCACGAGAGTCAATATTGCATCTTATATACAGAATCAGACATCACGATAGTCGTCCAATATTTTACTTAAATCTTGTGCGAGCTTTTCAGCTGAACTTTACTAACAAAAAAGACATGACTTGTCACGCGAAAACGTTTTTACTGCCATACACTACTCTGAGAGCAGTACACACACGCACACACACGACCTACTGAGTCAGGACTAATTCAACAGATGATATAGAGAAAACATGTGCTCTCTCTCTCTCTCTCTCTCTCTCTCTCTCTCTCTCTCTCTCTCTCTCTCTCTCTCTCTCTCTCTCTCTCTCTCTCTCTCTCTCTCTCTCTCTCTCTCTCTCTCTCTCTCTCTCTCTCTCTCTCTCTCTCTCTCTCTCTCTCTCTCTCTCTCTCTCTCTCTCTCTCTCTCTCTCTCTCTCTCTCTCTCTCTCTCTCTCTCTCTCTCTCTCTCTCTCTCTCTCTCTCTCTCTCTCTCTCTCTCTCTCTCTCTCTCTCTCTCTCTCTCTCTCTCTCTCTCTCTCTCTCTCTCTCTCTCTCTCTCTCTCTCTCTCTCTCTCTCTCTCTCTCTCTCTCTCTCTCTCTCTCTCTCTCTCTCTCTCTCTCTAACAGCATTACACACTCCACATTCCAGCACAGAGAGGGACCATCCCTCAACCTCTCGGAGCCTGGTAGTCTGTTAATGAATGAGTTTATTCACGACTGGTTTTATTATCATGCTGTTAAGTTAAATTGTTGAGTTAAAGTGCTAACTGATTTAAAGTAGAGTCTCGTCTGACTGTCAGACTCTTTACGGCTTTTACTCGAGAAATTAAAGATTTATTGTATTATTATTATATTGCTGACGCTATATTATTAAGTCTTTTCAAGTAGAGCTAAGTAAAGCTAAGTTAAGTTAAAGTTGTGCTATTTCCCTGTATTTTACGTGATGTGTCCAGCATTAGTATTACAATACGTGTGGCCAGAACATTAACCAATCCACCATGCCAGTACTACTAGACCTACATCAGTGATGACAATATGACTCTACTACTTAAATGTGATAGTATATAACTTCAACCGTAGTGGAGCGATTTAAAACGGGTCAGCCAATAAAAATGCATAGAAAATTCGAGAACAGCCGGTGTAATTTCCATTGATCTGTAAACCGTCAACTTCAAATGGAGTCACTCAGTGGTATGTGTTAGGGGTTTAAAAGTGAGCCACATTTAAAGGTGAGCCACACTATAAGGTTTGCGCTCGTCTTCTCTCAGTCACTGACCTCTGACACATTTCATCCAATATCACGATAATTTCACCTTTCATAGTCACGTGACCTGACACAAGACAAGTTTGAAGAAGTACTTGACTACTCAGCAGTGTTAAATATTTACAGCGGCCAGTTGCCTACCTTGTGGGTGTACTTTTTACTTAAGAGAGGTTTTAAATAAGAATTTAGATTAGTTGCTTACAATTACCTTAGGTGTAAAATAAATATGAGACATTTTCAAGTCAGGATTTAAAACAGAGATAAGCTAGAGCTGTCTCAATTTAATTTTAAAATAATTTGTTTTATTCATTAAAATTACAAAATGGCGGTATCTTTAACGTAGTCGTAAACAGTGTTATTTTGTAAAAAATAATGGAGATTTTTACTAATACTGTTTACTGTTTTTAGTGATACTTTACTATACTTAGTGAGAGTTAACAATTATAACTTTTCTACTCGCTCTCTGTAATCGATAAGAACTTTCAAGTATCTAGGTGTTGAGCTGTTGCAACAGTTGGGGCGGTATCTATTGACAATTGTTGCAATATATCTACAAGGCACGTTAAGGAATGTATTATCTGTGCCCGGTGTGGCCCCTCATGACGGCCCCCAGGTATTAGCAATTCATTCATCTTACAAATATTCACACATGTGCAGATATAAATCTATGGGTTAGCAGTCAACCAGGATATAATCCCCTCCAGCTTATAACTGAAGCGTACTACAGAAGAATTCTTTTGCTTTGCAGCTTACTCGCTCTTTTGTGGGTTGAGAAGTAACGCTAGCTATATAAATCATATCTCTAAATACAACCCGGCTTGTAGGATTATCAGAGTAAATGTAAATAGCAAGCTGCACCTGACACCTTTACTGCAGTCAGCAGTACTACCACACCTTTAGTCCTTTAATACAGCGCTGCTCCATAGAAGACAGAGCTCCGGAAGTAAGTGTGCGTTTGTGAATGTGTGAGTGAATGTGTGAGCGCACTCACACATTCACTTACACACACTCGAGTGTGAGTGAGTATGCTTGAGTGTGAGTGTGAACTGTATTGTCCAGTATTGAATAGTTAAATTATTGTAGTACTAGACTTGCACCCGGCCAGTGTTTTAGAAGTTATATCAGGATATTATAATAATATCAATGTCTCAGATGTTTTTAAATATATTTATAGCTCAGCTGATATTTTATATATTTATATCTCAGGCATGTTTTATATATTTATATATCTCAGGCATGTTTTAAATATTCATATCACAGATTCTCACTTTTATTAATATTATCCAACGAACAGCAATCAAAGATATCACTCCATTCTCCATAGTATACGTAGTAGTAGTCTACTAGGCCGCAGCGTGTTGGGTGTCTTTAAGGACCTTACATTTACTAATACTGCTCAGCAATGCCCTAAAGTACACTAAATAATGCGTGTGTGGACAGGAAACAGTATACTAGTTAGGGCAAGAATTGCTGTTTATGGGTCAATCTGTGAACAAATTCGTAACAAAGGTTTGTCTACAGGAATGTGTTGTCCATAGTCCCAGGAACCACCAAAAAAAACCGTCCAGCTGAAACTTTTGGGCAAAAATTTTTATAGTCATTTTTCTCCAGGAACCCATACGCCCCACCCCTAATATTGGTTATTCGGCTCCCGAAGGTCTTGAGATCTCCATAGGGGGTGCAAAATGACCGCAATGGCCACATTATGGCAGGCGAATGATAGTTTCAGAACGATTGGAGCTTTATTTTTCGAAATAAATGGAATTTTTCGAATTTTTTCTCAATTTTATTGAAATTTCGAAAAAAAAACACCAAATTATTTTTAACGCTTATTTCAAATCTATTTAAAAACTTATCTACAAATAACAAATACGGTTAATCTAAAATGTGTATTCTCAGTAAGTACCATGACAATTATTAATACACAGTTAATATTAATCAAAATTCGCTTGTTCTTCAGGTTCATCATGTCTAATGTTTGTGCAGTTCATACCATGGCATCGTCCACAAGCTGGCAAACAATTGAAGCCATATTTCCTACATGAACATCTGAAAGTCAAACAGGCCTGTTCCACATCGACAGAACAGTTACAACATATAAGGTTCATATGAGGAGGATAACTGAGGAGGAGGAGAAGGACTGAGGAGGAGAAGAGGGATCCAGGAGGAGAACCCAGGAGGAGGAGGAGGACTGAGGAGGAGGACTAAGGAGAAGGAAGACTGATGAGGAGGATGAGGAAGAGGGTGACTGGGAGAAGGACTGAGAAGGACTGAGGAGGAGAATGCGGACTGAGGAGGAGGAACCAGGAAAAGGAGGAGGAGGAGGACTAAAGAGGAGGACTGAGAAGGCGAAGGAGGACTGATGAGGAGGATGAGAATGAGGAGGAGGGTGACTGGGGGAGGACTGAGGAGGAGGGTGACTGGGGGAGGACTGAGGAATATGAGGAAGACTGAGGAGGAGGAGGAAGAGGAGAAGGACTGAGGAGGAGAAGGACTGAGGAGGAGAAGGACTGAGGAGGAGAAGCAGGAGGAGGAGGACCCAGGAGGATGAGGACCCAGGAGGAGGACCCAGGAAAAGGCCCCAGGAGGAGAAGGAGGAGGACTGGGGAGAAGGAGGACTGTTGAGGACGAGGAGGAGTGAAAGAAGGACTGAGGAGGGGAGGAGGAAGAGGAATGAGGAGGATCAGGAAGACCCAGGAGGAGGAGGACCCAGGAGGAGGACCCAGGAGGAGGAGGAGGAGGACTGAGGAGGATGACTGAGGAGGAGGAGGACTGAGGAGGAGGAGGAGGACTGAGAAGGAGGAGGACTGAGGAGGAGGAGGACTGAGGAGGAGGAGGAGGAGGAGTGAATAGGAGGAGGAGGGGGACTGGGCAGGACTGAGGAGGAGGAGGACTGAGGAAAAGGATGAGGAGGAGGACTGAGAAGGAGGACTGAGCTGAGGAGGAGGAATGAGGACTGAGGAGGAAGAGGAGGAGGATGAAGAGGAGGTGGACCTAAGAGGAGGAGGTCGGCGGAGTACAAGTTTTAATTTTAGAGGCAGCAGTTCAATTAACCTACTACTCACCTGACTAGTCTGCAGAGAATAACACTAAATATGTGCCTGTAATCACGTGATATATGCGCATATTATAGTCACGTGATATGCACATATGTGTATATGGACACGTTCATTGAAGTTTGAGGATATTGGTAAATTTCTAAAATAGCGTTTTCGACGATAGTGGCTTAATTTTAGCATCTATTAATCTAGCGTGTTCATAAGTTCTGAACATTAGCCACGTGACCCATACTCCCATATGCACTGCTCAGAAATAAAATGTATTGCTTTTAGGCACTATAATGTAAAAAATGTCACATTTTTGTGACATTGTTTACCATAGCTGCCCAATTATCATTCCTTGGTCTGAAATATAGTAGATTAGGTCAATCTAACAATTATGATACAACATTGGTTAAAGGGCACGGATCGAACGGCTTTAAGGCAATATTTCGTAAACTTTGTCACACTCAGAATACGAGACCTCTTTTCTACTGTGAGGTGTCCTCAAAACCCTTTCAACTCATTATTTGATGGTTCTTCTGCCAATCATAGCCCTAAAATATGTTGTTTTGAAACGTTAGCTAATACATGCACTTGGTTATTGGGAAATGATGTAAATTCTGTCACATTATATGGAATTTGAAATTCTGGGTGAATTTCCGAAATCATTTATATCTGATTTTGGTTTGGAAGGCGGGAAAACTCTATATAAGGACGATACACGGATACAGTTGATTCAAGCATAGGGCAGTTGATGTAAACATCGTCACAAAATGATACGACATCGTAAATAGGTTACATTTTGCGGGGAAAATCTATATAAGGACGATACACAGATACAGTTTATTCAAGTATAGGGCAGTTGTTGTAAACATCGTCACAAAATGATACGACATCGTAAATAGGTTACATTTTTCGGGAAAACTCTATATTAGGACGATACACGGATACAGTTGATTCAAGTATAGGGCAGTTGATGTAAACATCGTCACAAAATGATACGACATCGTAAATAAGTTAAATTTTGCGGGAAAACTCTATATAAGGACGATACACGGATACAGTTGATTCAAGTATAGGGCAGTTGATGTAAACATCGTCACAAAATGATAAGACATCATAAATAGGTTAAATTTGGAAACAATGATTATAGAATGAAATAGTCTGTGATTAACATATTACATACATTATAAAATGGGCAGGGGTTTTTATATTTCCTGTATCTCTGTATTAATCATTTCGGACTGTAATTAGGACTGTTCACGTGAAAGAAATTGTATCTAAATTTTACAATGACGTACTCGTATGTGACGAAATTTACATTTCTTGACCCTATTTTGAAGAACCATACCTCGGTTAGAATTCAATGTTCTTCCAGGAATTATTGGTTGGTTATTGTTTAGCAAAATAGAACTCAAGTTTAACAATGCTGAGTTTAATTTTACTAAGTTACTGAAATGTGACGAAATTTACTTTTCCTGCCCCAACAGTATAATTTCAATGTGATGAAAAATTGGCATGGGTTTCTATATTTCCTGTATAAATCCATTCTAACTATAATAAGGACTATTGATATGAAAGAAAATCTATCTAAATTTTAAAATGACGTATGTGACAAAATTTACATTTCTTGCCCCTATTTTGAAGAATCATACCTCGGTTAAAATTCAATTTTCTTCCAGGAATTATTGGTTGGTTATTGTTCAGCAAATTAGAACTCAAGTTTAACAATGCTGAGTTTAATTTTACTAAGTTATTGAAATGTGACGAAATTCACTTTTCCTGCCCCAACAGTATAGTTTCAATGTGATGAAAAATTGGCATGGGTTTCTACATTTCTTGTATAAATCCATTCCGACTATAATAAGGACTATTGGTAGGAAATAAAATCTATCTAAATTTTAAAATTACGTATGTGACGAAATTTACATTTCTTGCCCCTATTTTAAAGAACCATACCTCAGTTAAAATTCAATTTTCTTCCAGGAATTATTGGTTGGTTATTTTTCAGCAAATCAGAACCCAAGTTTAACAATGCTGAGTTTGATATCACTAATTTACCGAAATGTGACGAAATTTACTTTTCCTGCCCCAACAGTATAATTTCAATGTGATGAAAAATGGGCATGGGTTTCTATATTTCCTGTATAAATCCATTCTAGCTATAATAAGGGCAGTTGATATGAAAGAAAATCTATCTAACTAATGCTATGGCTGATGTGACGAAATTTACATTTCTTGCCCCTATTTTGAAGAATCATACCTCAATTAGTACATAATGTTACTTTATCACCATCACTATGTCGATAAATTAGTTATTTTGCCAACACGGAGCAAATAAAGTTATAATATTTTTTTTGTGACGAAATTTACAAATTTTTACCCTGTTCAGGTGTTGAAATTTTGCCCATGTTAACATATCACTGCCATATAATAATTTATATGACCGGCGTATGGTTGAAATATTGTTAATTGATCCATAGTACGTAATATAGGGTGTTTAAGTTGGTATACTAATATTTACTCAATTTCACACATGTTGAGATATCATACAAATTTATGTGACTAAATTTACCTATTTCTGCCTTCTGTATTTGTATTTGCCTATAACAATGAAATATGTGAACAATTCCAAACACATTCAGCTCACAAAATAATGCTAGACTATTCGGCATTTCTTGTCAGGATGTCATAAACATCCCTCATATAAATTTCTTAAATGTGTGACAGAGTTTATATGGTGCTACCATTTAACGAAAAAAGTCGCTAAATATGTAGATAATAGTCATATGCAACTATCCTATAAATTTGAAATTCGAAAATTTGGTCAAACACGGCAACAAGGGGTCCATATAAACTCTGTCACGTTTTTATAGTGTGACAAAGTTTACAACTCACTGCCGGCCGCATTTAAGCGATATCTTATCGTCTGATAAAGATATCGTTATGCGACAAAGTTTATCTAGAGGATGAAACGATTATCCTAACCATTGAGGGTTTATATAGTTTTATAGTGTGACACATTTTACATCATCGTGCCATTTAGTAGGGTCACTAATATTTACCAATATCCTCAAACTTCAATGAACGTGTCCATATATCACGTGATATGTGTATAAATCACGGGACGTTATACTTATGACTTATGTTTGTGTGAAATAAACATGTTTTTAATGTTATATAAATACACACACACACACACAGCTAACTGACACGTGTAATGCCCTATTAATAGTGTGAGTAGCACAGTGAGCACAGTTGCTTTTGTTTAAATAAGATCATTCTATTAAGTTGACAACGCAGCAGATGCTACACACACACACACACACACACACACACACACACACACACACACACACACACACACACACACACACACACACACACACACACACACACACACACACACACACACACACACACACACACACACACACACACACACACACACACACACACACACACACACACACACACACACACACACACACACACACACACACACACACACACACACACACACACACACACACACACACACACACACACACACACACACACACACACACACACACACACACACACACACACACACACACACACACACACACACACACACACACACACACACACACACACACACACACACACACACACACACACACACACACACACACACACACACACACACGCTTGCTAACATCACACTTCTTATAATGCACACACGACTAGTACAACATAGTTACTGTATTCCTGTAACTGCAACTGTACACAC